ATTCTATAAATATACCTAGGAAAATTCTGCTACCTGATTATTTTCGAGTGAACTTCACGGATTTTGTGATGCGTCTGAAACAGTTTATGCAGCAGTTATTTATATCAAAACTTGCAATAACTCTGACATTAATGTTAAACTCGTAACAGCTAAAACTCGTGTAGCACCATTAAAATCTATTACGATTCCAAGACTGGAATTATGTGCAGCAGTGTTATTGACACGCTTGATTCAGTCTGTAAAAAGCTGCATTATTAGTTATAAATTTTGATTTAGTGCAAGCTTGGAGTGATTCACAAATCGTGTTGTCATGGCTAAGGTCAGATCCTAAAAAATGGCAAGTATTCGTATCCAATAGAGTTTCTGAAATACAATCCATCTTACCACCTGAGAACTGGAGCCATGTTGATGGAAAGGAAAATCCAGCTGCAGCTGATTGTGCTTCACGTGGGTTATTTCCTGCAGAACTATTATCTCATCAATTGTGGTGGAATGGTCCTTCTTGGTTAAAGTGCAGTGAGATTGCCCTTGTCTAAAAATATTCTTATAGATGAAGAGGCATTACCAGATGCACGTAAAACGTCTCATTTGTAGTTTCTGAACCTGTACAGGAACTTGCTATTATATCAAATATATCTTCATTTCCAAAGTTACAAACGCATATTTGATTGGATATTAAGATTCATATCGAATTCTAAAGTAGCATATCTAGAAAGAAATACGTCTTTTTTATCTAGTAATGAAATGAAATTCGAGCTGCAAACTTTCTGTATTGTCCGAATAATACAGCGATTTCACTTTTTTAAAGAAAAAATTCAATGTTTGGAGTTGGGAAAGGACTTACCTACAAACAGCAACCTCCTTAGTTTTTGTTCCAATTTTAGATGACAACAAAGTGTTACGTGTAGGAGGGGAAGACTGAAAAAATGCGCAACTATCAGAAAATGAAAAACATCCAATCTTATTACCTTCAAAACACAATCTGACAGAAATCATAATTAGACACTTTCATGTCAAATATCTGCATGCAGCACCGGAACTTCTTCTATCTTTAATTAGACAGCAATTTTGGATCATAGCTTGCTAGATCTGCTATCCGAAAAGTAGTAAGATCTTGTATCACGTGTTGCAAACTTAGAGCTAAAACTGCAAGTCAAATAATGGCTGATCTACCGGAATCTACTAGAGTAACACAATCGCGACCATTTCATCGAACTGGAATAGATTTTTGTGGACCGTTCATGATTAAACATCGTGCAGGACGTGGACAAAAATCATTTAAAATGCTAACGTATGCTTAATTATGTGTTTTGTAATCAAGGCAGTACATCTTGAAGTGGTAGAAGATTTGTCAACAAAGGCATTTTTTTAAGTGCATTGAAACGATTTATTGCAAGAAGAGGGAAACCATTTGAGATTTATAGTGACTGCGGTACTAACTTTTAAAAGGTGCAGACAAAGAAATCAGAAAATGTTTTTTGCAATGTAAGCAAAATCAAGAAATTCACAAATTTTTGTTGTCTTTAGAGGAAATAAAAAATGGATATTCAACCCGCCATCATCTCCCCATTTTGGTGGGACTATGGGGAATCGGCAGTAAAGTCAATGAAATTACATCTAAAAAGGACTGTTGGTGATACTGTGCTGACCTATCCGGAATTTCAGACCTTGATAGCGCAGGTTGAGGCTTGTCTCAACTCTAGGCCATTGTGTCCAACATCGGCTGATCCAAATGATTTAACTGCATTAACACCTGGTCATTTCCTAATAGGAACGTCTTTAACTGCCATACCTGAACCAGACCTAAATTATAGTTCCTTCAATCACATTGACAGATGGCATGTGAGACAGTTTATTTTTCAGCACTTCTGGAAAAGATGGAGTTGAGAATACCTGTCTCAGCTTCAACAAAGACCTAAATGGCAAAAAAGTCAAAACAATTTAGAAGTCAATGACTTAGTCCTCATCAAAGAAGACAACCTTCCGCCTCTTAAATGGAGGTTAGGGAGAATAATTGCTGTTCATCCGGGCTCAGATCAAAGAGTCAGAGTTGCCTAGTATTAAAACTGGTCATGGTGTCATTAAACGACCAGTCGTGAAATTGTGTCCTCTTCCTATTCAGACTAAAAAACTATGAACTGCTTCGCATATAATATTTTGTATTATTTTTCTTATGTTTATTTCTTTATTACAGACTAAGAAGTTTCAAAATGCTCCAACTGTTGAAATCCCCTGGGATTTCAACGAGGGCCAGGATGTTTATGTGAGTATCGTTTGCTTCATTTTATTGTTGCAAACAGCGTAAATTCCTTTTGTTTTTCTTCCTTTAGTTTTGAGCTTTATGTGTGGCAACAAGATAATTGATTGATAGAATTGTGTTTGTGACAGCCATGTAGAATGGCTCGCTTATTTTGTATCAATTATTTCGCATCGCTGACATATTATTTATAATTAGTGTAATGAAATAAAAGTGTAGGAATATAGTCCATTTGTTGATTGATTATTGTTTGTGAAATAAAAGTAAAGAACACATGGTTTGTCGTATATGTTTGAGCACAAGTCTCCATAGCTACAGATTTTCTCCTGTACAGGTGTTCGTGTTTTTCATCATCACAAACAGTTAGAGAAGAGGAACTGGAAAAAGGCTCTGAAATCAAATAAATCACTTTTGTTAGTCATCCACAATAAAGTAGATAAACAAGCTCATGCACTTGCTGCCAAATTCTTCCAAATGAAGATGGACGGTTGGAGAGCGTATGATGATCTAGGCAAAATTTTGAAGAGAAAATTTAAGTCTATCACCCCAGTAGAGAAACCTCTGGGTATTCACACTTATTTGAATAAATAAATAAACTAATATACTTTTTCATATGACTATATACACTGCGAAAGATGGCATCTTTTGAGAAAATTTTTCTTTATGCCATGCTATGAAGGAGATTAATCGATGTTCGAAGAATAAAGAATTTTCTTTATAATCATGCCGCTTTAAATTTTCTGGGCATAGAATCATTCAAGCATGCTAGTTGAACTGGTGAAATTTTTAAGACGATTTCATACCAACATTGATTGAGCAAACTTTTGTTGCAGGACGATACCAAATATCAAGGAGCAGCTATCAATATCTTGTGGAATCTGTGTCTTGTTGAGTTAAGTCCTTTTATGCTGAGAGAAGAACTGATATCATACTACGTAGGTGATTTTAGTATTCTGGCCATATAAAAGATATTTAAAGGCTGATTGCTTGTTTTTATTTTCCTTCAGTTTTCATAGCATGAATTACACACATGTCCATAAATTAAGGATAACGCAAAATCAGGCGAAGGAAGAGTTAGAAGCAGAACAAATCTGACTTATTTGTAAAGCTTATTTATTAAACAAAAGGTAAAGAGCAAAAAAAGATGCTATATGTTTGATATTATTAAAAAAATTAGCGACTTTTTCCTCCCTGGAGCAAATTAAAAAAAAAAAAAAAAAACACCTATTTACAAAAATCACTATTACATGGTTGGTATGATTGTTAATACATTGTATGTCTCCCAGACGATGCAATACAGTCCGTACTACGCCTAGGCATGCTGAGTATCAAATTATCGATCTGATCTTGGGGGATATTACACCACTCAAAAAGCAATACTCTCCGAAGTTCCGGTAGACATGTAGGAGGAGGTTGACGGGCTGCAACTCGTCGGCCAAGCATGTCCCACACGTGCTCTACTGGATTCAAATCCGGTGAGAATGCTGGCCAGTCCATACGGGTGATAACCTCCGATTCGCTTACAATGTTTGTACGATGAGGACGGGCGTTGTCATCCATAAACACAAATTGTGCCCCATGGCGCCCCGAAACAAATGTATATGTTGTTCCAGAATGACGTCCCGATAGATATGGCTTGTCATGGTTCCAATTTGAACATGCAGGTCAGTTCTGGAACCCAGAATAATTCCATCCCAAACGAGCAATCCTGCACCACCGTAACGGTGTCGTTCAATGATGTTTTCTTGGTGGTAACGGGTACCTGGATCTCTCCATATGAAAGTCCGGCGAGAATCAGACTGCAAGCTAAACCAGGATTTGTCGGAAAACATTACACAAGCCCACTGTTGCGGTGTCCACAATGCATGCTCTCTACTCCAGGCTAACCGCAGGCGACAGTGAGTTGCAGTAAGTGGAAACGCATCTGACAGGTCTACGAGCATATAGACCAATCTGCCCTAAGGTCTGTACACGGTCTGCCTTGAAAATTGTCGTACCAGTGGCTGAAGAGAGCTGACGAGACAGGTCTGAGGCTGTGCTCCGCCTGTTTTTTTTGGCAGTAACTGCCAAATACCGGTCCTCATTCGGCGTTGTAACTCTGGGGCGACCTGTGCTGTAACGTCTACTCACATACCATCATCTTGAATCGTTGCCAAAGCCTGGAGATGACACTCTGGGCAATTCCAAGTTCGTCTGATACTTCCAGTTGGGTACGCCCGCATTCCAGATGGCCGATAATTCTACCACGTAAAAAATCATCCAAATGCGTGTTTTGTGTCATAACTATTTGGTTATTGCACTGAAATGCTTATAAAGCGCCTGCGAACAATTTTACTTCTTTGCCTGTGTTTCTTATACTCTCTTACACTCTCGTCATTGTCACGTACCATCGGTGTCAGAAGATGTGTGTAGTGATTTTACAGGTGATATATTTATTTTAGAGTTCGATTTCCGCGTGACTCCGAATTATCCTTAATTTATGGACATGAGTGTATAATATGAAAAATGTTTAAAACTTAAGATAAGAAATGAAAACAAATTACTCTTAGAAAAATTAACATATAGTATTTTCAGAGCTGCGAAATTATTTGTGATTTTTAAAATTTTATATAAAATAATTAAAAATTTTAAATCGTGATGGGAAATTTACTGATTAAATTCAACGCCCATAATCTATATCAGTTCAAAATCAAATAGAATAACTAAAAACTAAAAGCAATATTATTACATTTCTAATTCATACCATCTCATCAATTATTGAAGTTACACCTGCCGCAGATGATCCATCATAGGAATTCTCATCTTTTCGTTCCATCTGTATTTAAAAAAATATTGTATTTTTACTGTATTTCACGTTCAAACAGCAACTCTGTAAGTTAAATTCTTTTATAACTGAGTAGAGTAAAATAAGTGATGAAAAGTTTGAAGTTAGGGATTTAGATAATTTCAAATAATTAATTACATTATCAGTAAGCACAAGATGCTTAACAAAAGGTGATGTATAAATACGGCAAAGAAGAAACCAGTCAAAGATTACACTTTCTTCAAACCACTCAGAATATCCTTCCATTGATAAATAAGATCTAAAATAGAAAAAAAAAATAAAAATTAGTTAAATTGCTTGCGATATGTCTTAGGATTCCAAAAGATTACTGATAATCAATAAAAGCTTTTAATGTTTTTTCAATTAAAGAAACTAATTAAGTTTTTACAACAAAAATTTTTAATTTTCACTAAAACATAGCACATACCTGTCAGAAAGAGGCCGTTTATTGTCCCTTAAAATTAACAACTTTTGTAATTGTGAAGGAAGGAAAAAATACAATAAATTAAATAACATAAATTTCAAGTCTTTAGGTGTAAATTAAATTGTTGATTTTATATGATTTTTTAAAATGCTCTCAAATTTGTGGGACACTCTGTACACCTTTTTTTTCTAATGTTATTTATTTATTTATTCAGAAGGATGAGAAGAGAACTTCTTTAAAAAGGAAAGTTATTGTGAAAATACCCCATACAAATAATAACTCAGAACTGTTTTGCTATTTAAAAAAAACTGTGTAAGGAAAATTCCAAAATTTCTTAACATCGCATCACATGCTTCAAACACAGACACATAGAAAACATCATACACTACGCATGTGAATTCAGCTTTGAAAAAGTAGCCCAAAAGTAAAATTTAACATTAGATTAACAATAAAGAGCACATTTAAAGAATTCTAAGAAATATCTTTGCATTAGTTGTAAAGTCATTAGGTTATTTTTGAAGCAGGACAGATGAAAAATGAGCAACGCCCTCTCCGGGGCTCGAACCACGGACCTCTCGAATATCCGCCGAGCGTGCTGAGCATTACACCACGAAGGCATGCTAAGAAGGCGGGAGAAAAACCTTATACAGTTTTATTGTTATTAAGTACTTTTACTATAAAATTCAAATAAAAATGAATAATGAATTCAAATAAAATATATTCAAATAAAAACGAATATGATGAAAAATGGTATTAAATATTGATAAATACTTAATACCATTTTTTTAAAAAGGGGAAGAAAAGCAGTTGTTGAAAAACAGAAGAATTCTAAGTAGTGAAATGTGAAAAATTAAACATATATTTCATCAGCTGAATTTTTTTTTTCTTTCTTTTTTCATAATTTGGAGGGGGGAAAAGGTTAAACATGCAGCGCAAAAGAAAGCTTGCATGTTGCAAAGTTTGAAAATTTTCTTTTGAGGGTTGCGTGATATTTCATTTCTTTTAATACAAAATTCTAAGGATTATTAAACGATCAATATATAATGAATTAAGTGACAAAGAGTATTATAATATCTCAATATACTGAAACCATAAACTGAATCATTTCAGATAAAACCACAGGTATTACTGATTGTGAAAAACAACCTGAAAGTCACATAGCTAGAGAAAATGTGCTATTTGACAGTTCTCTAATAAATTTTTCAAATTTTTCTAACAGAATTAAAAAGGTCCAGACATTTTAAAAATGTTTATTCAATGAAAGAATGTTATTGGGTAAGTAGAAAAACTTTGCCAGTAGTAAAAGAATAGCAGGTATGGTTATAACGATATGTTCTAAATCATGGCTGAGCAGACTTTTTCATGGCACGGGCTACTTCTAATTTTTTTAAGGTGATGCGGTTCATTCAGTGGCGTGAGTGTGGTGAACTAAAAAAAAGGTCTACAATATTTATTATAATTTAATAATAACTACGGAATATGTATTTACATACCTACAAAAAAAATTACTATTTTAAAACTGCGTTTAAAGCAAAACGCAATGTACAAAGATCATAATAATAGCCACAAATATAAAAATTTCAAATGATGTATTTCTTATTAAACAATTCAAAATAAATCATTTTCATCTAAAATTATAGTTAGTAGAAGACTTAGTCTGCGTACTGTCCACCAGTCTTGAATATCTCGTATATAAATTATTAACTACTAATCTTGCACTGGATTCTAAGTGGTTGTCTGTGTAAGACGGGAACGATATGTTGTCTTAATTATATTTGTCGTTGAAAATGTAGCTTCACACAAGTAGGTAGAGCCATAGAACAATGTTAAATGAAATGCAACTTTTTTTAAAATTAGGATACTTTATTTATCTTAGGTTCTGAGCTACGTGCTTTTAAAATTATGTCAGTTTAAAAAGAAAACCTTCGTTTTTCTCAAGATAAAAAGAGTAAGATAAGATAAAAAGATAAAGAGATTAAAGAGAATATATAATTTATATTTTCAATTATTTCTTTCACATCAGCATTGCCAAAGGGTAACACAGGAAGGAAACAATTGGTTCTAATCTACTCAATTCTTGAAAATTTTTTTCTTTGTTTAATGTACCTCCGTTTTTAAACAACTCGTCAGAAATATTTTTGGCATTTTTTAGTTCATTCTGCAGCAACTGGGAAGATATTAGGTCTAACTTGTTTTTGAAAGTATCAAAATCCAATCAATTCTACTATTGTTTGAGTTTTTCTTTGTATTTATAAGTTGACTTCATTAAGATGGCTTGTTATATCAACAACAAAATCTAATTCCATCAACCAAACGTCATCGCTAAGTTCAACGTAAGCTTTATCATTTGATTCCAAAAAATCTTTTACCTCTTCTAGTAGCTTTCTGAATCTTTGTAAACATATACTCCGACTTAACCAACGAAAATCTGCATGGTATAACAGTTTCCAGTAATCAGATTCGTTTTCTTCTAGTTGGAACCGAAATGTTCTTCTCTGAAGAGTTCTTCCTCGAACTTAGTTCACTGTTTTTCTGCAGATTCCCATAACATGATGCATATTTAAAATTTTATAACAGAGGGCCTGTTGGTGAATAATGTAATGATAAGAAAGGAAATGCGGTATGTTATCGTCTGTGATACACATAGCCAAAAATCCATTGGCTGCTGGTCATCGATGGGGCCCCATCAGTTGTCATCGATACTACTTTATATAAATCGGATTTTTTTCCCTCCTGCATGCATTTCTTGTAGGCCCAGTAAATATCTTCACCTTGTTTTTCTTCTTTATAAGTTATATTTTTAGTAATTATTCTTTTACACTCATATCCTTAAAAACATTTTTCATAAAAATGCAAAGTTGAGAAATATCAACCATGTCTGAAAACTCGTCCGACTACAAAGAAAAGCTAATACAGTTCGTAATATCTTCGGTCAGCTGATCAGCTAGATCAGAATTCATCATTTCTATACTGAGCGTGACAGTTCTAAGCGAAAGTTGTACGTCTTTAATCGAAGAAATAATTTCATTTTTGTTCTTGAATGAATCAAATAATGAATCGCTGGCATCCAGAAACTCCTTTTTTATTATTTCTACATCCACGAAAGGATTCTTATGTTTTCCTAACACATGAAAGATGCAACTGTTGCAGCCTTAGATATGGTATTGGGTAAAATGATTGTTGTTTGATTAATTGCGATTTAAATTCTTTTGAATTTTGTTTGCGCATTTCGCTTTTTAACGAAAAATCTGTATCGAAACTCCCATGCAAGCTTTTGAAATGCCTTTCAACGCTTCCTTTTTTTTTTTTTTTTTTTTTTGGAAGTGCCAAACTTGCACGACATATATAGCACATATATTTTGCACTCACCATTGATGAAAAAAAAAAAAAAAAAAAAAAAAAAAAAAAAAATCTGTTTTTCCCATTTTGTATGAAATTTATATTTTTCTTTTCTTAACGCTTGTTTCCGACATTGTACTCTTCTTTTAAATTTGAAGATTATACTTTTCTACAAAAACACAAGTACACAAAAGTGTCAAATTGGATGTCTAAGAACTTAAGTACTGTTAATGGAGCGTGGCGTATTCAAGGGGCGGGCGACATGAAACCGTGGAACCAAAATCTGTAACGGCGTATGTAATTAGCTCATAGGAGGCTTCCAATGAGGGTACATGTCGTCTACAAACTCATATTATTGCTCAAAGTAACAAGCGCATCGTTGAAAATCCGATTCTCCGGTCTAGGACGCGGGTGTGTTCCATAAATATGTTTCTTTTAGTATGCGTATAGAGACATTAGGATTTTTTAAGCAGGAAAAAATGAAAACATGGCTGTCATATTTTAACCTGGGTTTAGGGGAAAGAAATCCTGGGTGTGGAAATCACATGTCCCACCGTTTTTTTCGGCGCCACTATGAGGTTCGGATTTTAAGCAGGCTAGGCCCCCTGCTAGCGCTTCGAATCGACCACAAATCTGAATTGTCGTGCTGCACAAAACCAGACCCCCCACATTGGCCGGCGGACGAATACGATTCCCCTTTTCGGTACTCGGGCGCTCCCCCCCAGGGCAGGTTGGAATCTGTAAGTGGTAAAAAGTCGCTACGATTTTTTTTTTCTATCTTTGCCACTACGATATCCGCCGCCAGCCTAGATCGCCCCCGCTTTTTATTCCCGCTTTCCTCCCGTTGTCGTTCCTATCCTCGTTTTCATTGACTTCTTTAATTGTTTTGCCTTATTTATCTGCCGGATTTCGCGGCTCTAAGAAATCCAGGTTTGTTTTTTTAACTAGTGTCTGACATGCTTAGCCCAGGAAAAAACGGTGTCAATTAATATTTATTTTTCTTCTGATCCTTATTCCTTGAATGCAGTCTCCTATTTGCTTTTGGAATGTTTTCCTCTTCTCAAGTTTGCTTTGGGCGTTATTTGTTTCCCTTTCTTCTTTTGTGCTGGCTTCACCATTCGCTTTACCCTTGTTACCTTTTCATGTTTTTTTCGATCTTTCAGTAAAAATAAGGATATATAATTATCTTTTCAAAAAGCTAGTTTTGCTTTCCCTTTTTTTTTACTAATTTACCACAGTATTTATCCAATATGATTTTTTTTGAATTTTGATTTTCTTAAGGATACGTTAGTATACATTTATGTTTTTTTTTTTTAAGTTACAATAAACTGATAGTTGTTTTTTGTTTTGACTCGTTTACAAATCGAGAAAAATGCACTTAAAAATTGTCATTGCACTGAAAAATAATACAGCCTGATAAATTACATTTAACAAATATCAATTGTTAAGTAGTAAAATTAATAAGGGAAAATTTCGATAAGTTCATAGATACTAGAAAATGAAAACAGATCAATACTGTTTCTAAAAAATGCGCACAGGGTAGACAAGTACATGCATATAATTATATTTATGGATTTAACAATTAATTTATAGATTTAAAAAATATTTAATTTACCGATAATGTTGTTGCTTAAATTGTATAGATTTCTGAAAGCTGGGTGAATAGTAAATGGTCTGTAATAATAAGTCAATGAGGAATGTTGAAAAGCTATAAACGTAAAAACCTTTTTTCATGTATCTATATTAATTCAGCCATTTTTTTCATTTAGGTCACACTTGTAGATATCTCTCAACTTAAAAAGTATACAGACGCATTTAACTACCAATAACATTTAATTCACTAAAACACAAACAAAAAAAAAATTCCACATAGTGTATTGCATAATTATTAAATTTTCAATGATCGATCCTAGTGAAAACCATTCTTTTACCTCTCATACAGTATTTCAGATTTTGAGGTGTCTAAAATATCAAATACATACTTCAAAAAGGAACGCATATTATTCAAAATGTAATTTACTAAATTAGAGCTAATCTGTTTTAAGCTAAAAATAATTTTATGCTTTTAATAGTCTTCAGTAAATAACTTAAGTTGGCATATTTCGTAAATTTTGTATAAATGAATTTTTCTAATAAAAGGATACAAATAGTTACCTTTCAACTGGAAGTTTACTCATTACATAATTAACCAAAATTCTAACATTATGATACAGGTCAAGCATTTTGAGTGATTCCATTTTTCTTTGATGTTGCTTTGAATTTAACATCGCAGTTACAAGATGCATAATTATAGGCTTTATGACTTCACAAACCTATACAGACATTGCAATTAGAACAATATTCCACATGGGAAGTATATAAAATATAGGGAAAGAAATGACTTTAATTATATTAATAGAATAGAAATTAATTTCATCAATAATTACACATAATATTTTCAAATCACTAACTTTGGAAATGATGTAGTATGCGATCTACCACTTTTAATTATAATTTATTTTTTAGATGGCTCCACTAAAATTGGTTGTTGTTTTAATCATTTCTTTTTCTTGCCATTTTATCACGTGTTCGAATATGAAAACTATCAATTATTTATTTTTGTTAAAAGCCGTTATTATTGAATTATGAAACTATTTAAATTAAAATTTAATTGAATTAAAACTACAATGAGTTATTATATTAATTAACATAATCCCTTTTCGTTTCTGCATTCTTAAACATTTGCATTTATTTTCATATTTAAAAAATACCATTTTAGCGGTGTTATCTTAAAAAATAACTAATTAATAATAGTAGATCACATATTACATCATTACTCTAACTTTATTAAACTAAGAAACAAGGTATTGTTATAATTTAAAGCATAATCAAAGTTCTTTGCAGCATAAACTGGCAGAAACGCTCAGAACCGAAAATTTACCACATCATGTTATTGCTCAATTCACTAAGGCAGCGTTTCTCACATATTTTAGCCTCACAACTCCATGCATATAGTTGTGACATATCACAAACTAGATGCATATAATTACTCTGAAGAAAGAAGATAAAGGAAAGAGATAATGCGAAAAAATAATTTAACAAATCAAGCTAATAAAATTTTTAAAAAATTGACATTAAAAAGTCATAAATTAATTCATAATTACAAGCGAATTTACATCATTGCATAGTAAGAAAAAGAGTATTTCAAAACTTTTTGCTATCCACGCATCTTATTTGTAGTAACGCACAAGCAGTAGATAAGCATAATGCATTTTAAGCATAATACAGCGCAAGGAGAATGTATTTCCCCTTTTAAACCTTTGAAAAAAATGAATAAAAAAAGCAATTATCCCAAACAAATAGAAACTAATAACACGTTAACTTACCTGTTATTTAAAAATAAAGTTAGTGAATTACTTAAAAAAAGACATTTTTCATCAATAATAAGTGTGTGCATTGGGTGATTAAAGTGCAACCAAATAAGTATCGTATGCATACCATAACGTGAAATCTTGCTGGTTTACCGAGATAAAAAATGCTCAGTTTTAACAACTTAAATATACTTCCGGGTATTAAATATACGTATTTAATAGTGATATTATACTGCTTATGCTAATTTTTTAAACCACTAATTCATGCTACTTTCAAATAAATTGACTCAAAACCATATATATCTTTCTTAACAAACTGCAATATGAAAATTTTAGATTACAGTGTGACTTCTCGAAGAATTGAACGTGAAAGTTTCAAAAAAGTATTTTAGAAATATAAAAATGGTAAGGTTAAAAAGAAACTGCAAATTGTTCTTTGTATACACTTTTCAGTTTAATAACAGAAATTATTTTAAGCAAAGCAATTACAGTAGGCTTATTCATTTAAGAATTAGTCACACAGAAAATTAAAAATATAGAACAGAAAATCTTATATTTAAAAAGAACTCTTCAAAATGGCAAAATCAAATGGTAAATAAAAAGTTATGATATTATTTCGTCGTACATTAAGACTATAGGGAGACTTGTGCATTTATTTAATAATAAAAAGGTTTAATTTTCAAGACATAGTTCGTGCATTTATTTCACTGAACTACTTCAACACAAGTTTCAGAACAAACATTTACATCAAGTGACAATACTTTTTATTTGCCAGGACAGAAAATCTGTGAACTGAAAACAATAAACATATTTAAGATGTTTATTGTTATTTTATGATGCTATGGCATAAAACTACACAACAGCTCTGTAGCATCATTAGAAGTTTCTCGGAGAAACTTCCTTTGACGTGTTTAAGAAATTTCGTAAGGCTCATATGGAGCTGATACTTGAGTTATAGGGTCTATAGCTGCATATCTTCACACATATTTTATATACACAAAATGCATTACGCCCAGAGCTCTACTACTTGAGTGGTTGCAGAATTAATAGAAAAGACGACTGCATAAGTTTGCAAATAATATTAGTATTATGACTTTTAAGAATCTCCTTGCATATTTCTGCTTATCGTAGTCACAACTAATTCACAGCAAACTTTTATTATAACTAAATAGTTGTTTCTGTTACCGAGTTACTATAATTTGCTAATAGAAAAACAAAAGAAATGTCCACCATCAAAATGAATCGGTAAAATGTGCTGTGCTATTCATGTTTGTTGTTCCTATAACTATTTTAAATGCAGACTAGTCAATGAATGGCAGGCAAAGTCTTTAAATTTGATTTTATGCTAACTATTATTTGCTCTAGATCTTTGTACAAGACAAAAAATTATTTTGTGCAGCTTTCTTTAATTGCCATTTCATCGCATATTTTTGTAAAACTAGTAGTAACTTTATTGAAGAAGATGGATTTTAGCACTGAAGGCTTGGGACGTTAATTCTGAGGCGAGTATTTTTTCTCGTGCATAATTCTTTTACAGGACTGTAATGCTGGATTATGCATATCTTGTTTTAAGATTTAACATAATATAGAAAAACTTTTAAATTTTACAATCGTAATTATTCATGAACCAGTATGCGATTTTGTGTGAATAAATAATCATCTTATACTAATACAAATCATTTACACCATATTTTGTAGCTTTGTAACGTAAATGTATGCACTAAAACATTCCTACTAAGCTTATGGGTATGAAGAAAGCCACAAATAAGGTAAGTAAAAGAGAAAATGTGTGAGTTTTAATAATTTTACATCATTTAAAAAATTAAATTTCACAAAAAATATGCTGCGCTGCTAATTATATCAACAGGTTCAGATTTTCGTGAATTACTAAAAAACTTGACCAATTAGTGATAACTTCAAGTATACAAAGAGAATGAGTATAACCACCGGGTTGCTCTTGAACTTCTCTAAACAAATAAACTTTTACCTTAAATATTAATCAAACGAAACTATCAAAACATTTTCCTTCTTATTATTATTAAAACTTTCTTTTCCTGCGCAAAAACTCAATAAATTCTGGACTTATAATTTTAACCCTTTCCTGACAATCGCAGCTTATGGTACAAATAATTAACAGCAGGCCTATCATTTTAACTCAGGATAACCTTTTGTCTATGTCACTTTAAAGGATGCAAATCAGTAGTGGGAAAGGGGCTTTAATTTCAGGAGTTTCCTTTATATTTCAGTCTCTTCGTCCCATCAATTGAAAAATAAAGATCAATTTTTCTCAGCACATGGGGGAGCGCCTTTTGGCATGTTGGTAAGATAACCATCTTCCACAGCGGTGAGCGTTTGTTCGCATTCCAGAAAAGGCATAGATGGTGCAAGTATATATAGTCTAATAAGGTATGAGGACAAAGCACGACATGAAGCTACGCAGCAGCTCTATAGTATCATTGGTAATTGAGCTATTGCTGAATCTAGTTAATAAGTTTAGAGAAACGACACCTTTTAGAGGTTCCAGGTGAGCTCCGTTCTAGCGCACACTTAATTCTCAAGCACCACTCGACGGACAGTCTGAAGTCAGTAAAGTACCGCCTCCGAGTGCCAGAATTTAGCCACACCTGTCATTTTCATTGAAACATGAATTTTATATACATTGATTACGTACTGCTGCTTTCTTTTGTAAATTACGTGCTTTACCTTAAATTTTGTATATTTGTTAGATTGCAATTTTTGTGAAGCTTACATTGTTTTTAACATCTGAACTTATTTCACAGTTCAATTCAAGCTGATACTACATATCTAATGTTCTATAAATGGTAATATAAGGAAAAACATATGTAATAATGCTAAAACAAAATGTATATAATAAAAACACATAATAAAATTACTCTAAAACGTAAACGTTTTTCCATTTGCTTTTTAAAATCTTATTTCTGCACAATATCTGAAGTGCTGTTATGTTCAATAATGTTATTTTGGCACTCATAATGTCTGAAGTCCCATTATGTTTATTTTTGAACTAGTTCATTCCGTTTTCTGCATTACTGATATGATGTGTACTGGTACATGTTTTCAATACTATAGTTGATAATTTGCAAATTAATTAATCACATATTTACTAGTACTTGCTTTGTTGTAGTGTCAGTTTCTTAAGTAACTTGCCATAGACGTACCCATGTTCTGAAGTTACTGAATTACTTTGCATGATCTGCTTTTTTTGGGTACTTTGCTTTTATAATATAGTTTTTGAATGCTTGTGTATTTGTTGATGAGTGTCTAATGCGCTGATCCTTCGTCAGATTGCAACAGAATACGTAATGATCAGGGTCGTCTCATTCTAAACACATGCACATCTCTACGTTAGAAATTTGTTGGCGTAAAAATATGTGAGGAAGACCTGTTAGATAGTAGCTGATATACGAATTATTGGAATTTGTTATCTTGTTTGCTTTTGGAAATATTTCATGAAGATGTCTGCCTTATTTTGAGAGTAATTCTACTCTTTTCCCCATATTTTACTTCTCAGTTCTATTTTAAGGCATATTTTGCACATGGGATCTTGATAATTTCATTTGTTAGATCTTTAGAGAGAAAGACTATGCTGTTTCATTTCCTACTATGTCACTGTGTGTCCATACGATTTTGAATTTTATTTGTGGATTAGCGCTGCTTAGATTCAGAAGGTTTTGTAATGTAGGGTGTTTGCTGCGATTATTTTGAAGTGCTTCTAAAGCTAACTGGCTATCTGACTTTATTAAAATTGCTTCAAACTGTTCGTGTATTTTAATGTTTCTTTATGTCTATAATTTCAGTTTGAAAAATATTATTGTTTTGTTACAGTTTTTCTTGCTATGTTTCTGACCCCTTGTTGTTGTGAACCACCTGTATATATCATTGCATAGGTATTATTTGCTTCTCATTATAGTTCACTGAAATAATGAGGATCTAATGCAGAGTATCTTCTATATGACAGTTCAGGGATTTCGTACTTATCTGGAGATATTGTGTCATTATACAGGTTTCGGAACTGGAAACTGGAAACCTGTATGTGAACAGGTTTCGGAGCTGGAAAATAGTGAATTTTACTACTTCTTTTAGAACTTGAATATAGAAAAGCTCCTGGAAGTATACATAAAGCTTGGTTAGAAGTTATTCTGTAGGCTTTTCTGACTTGCAAAAGAAAAGACCTTTGACTAGTAAAGAAGAATTCTCTTTTTCGTTTTGTTTTTCAATTGGTGCCCCATAGTTACAATATTGGTGATTACTATTCTACATAGAATTCTTCTAATATGAGGTTTCAGTCACCAACTTTCGCTTTGCTTCTGAAATTTAACGCTTTTTTGGAAGTTTTTAGTTCTAGTAGATTCGTTGCCATTTCGAAATTATTGTCTAAGGTAAGACCTAGAAATTAAATATTTTTTATTATTTTTATTTTGTCCTTTTAGGCTGAATTTAGGTTGTCTATTAATCTTTTATCTTGGTCTGTGGAAGATTACTGCTTAAACTTTTCCTGAAAAATAATTACTTTTTGTTTTTGGCATCTTTTATGTAAAATGTCAAGTATTTCATTAACCTTTTTCTGTAAAATTTCTCTAAAATGTCCACTCATTACCAGAGATTATCATTAGTATAAATATAAATTTTTTAATGTGGAGAGAAGGTGCATTTGAGAATTTATGTGTCATCGCTCAAATGTTTGTACTGAAACACAGCTCTTAAGGCAGCCTCTTGCCTTTCTACTGAAGCATTATTTTAAATTATGATCCTTTTTCTTTCTTAGAAATACTCTTTGATAAACCATAGACATTTTTTGGGCAGCCAGCTTCTGCTATTGCATTCATAACTGCTGGACACCTTAGGGAGCCAAACTCGCATTTCATACTTATGATTATGCTGCGTTTATTTTCTGCTTTATTGGTACTGACTTTTTTAATTATGGCATATATTATGTTAATAGTGCTAACGTCTTTGAGGCATCAGAGCACTTAAAATGCTCTCGAGTCGAAAGTCTTCTTGAGAGACTCAAGTTATTGCATTTGTGGAAGATGAAGGAGAGAAGGCCCTTGGTTCTCTGTCCCTGGAGTTCTTGATGAAAGTTAAGATGGAGCTGTACAATTGCAAGGGTTTCGCTCAATAGACGACATGACAATTGTTATGTTAGGAGCTACCAAGTCGAAGAATTAAGGAAAAATGTGCAGTGATTTCACGATTCGAAAGTGAACTAGAACTCTGGCATAGTTTTTGGAGAAAGATGAATGTTAAAATCAATAGCAAGAAGCAGCTAACATTGGAAGACTTGGAAAAAAGCAATGATTCGTTTTTCACAAATAAACTAACTGAGTGCTCGTTAGAACCTTGTACCGAGTAAAAACTTCATTTACACAATAACAGGTGATTCACATCAGCATGAAAGAGTAAACTGTGGTGAGTCCCTCAGTTCCTTACCTGAAGCCCAAGCGACAAATAGTGCTGTGCAAAACTATATACTAACATTGCAGGCATAAAATATTTTGCAGGGTGCCATCTGGAAGCAGTACTATGTATTACCATATGTCACCATGAGTGTGAAGTAGCTGCTTCAAAATTATTTTAGTGATCATATCATCTTGTTTCATTTTCCTTTAAAATAGTCCTTGATCTCTTCTGTTCAACTTCAATGGCTTACACACTTTGGGGCTATGTTAAGTCTAGAGTCTCCTTGAATAATTCGTTTGCCGGTTGTTTAAAGAAAAACACTGCAATAGCAGTACTGAGTATCCAAATGTATGTACATTGTGCCACTGCTGTCTCTGTCACTGAACATATGCACTGCTTCCTTGATAAAATATATGAACATTACGAACATTTTTAAGTTTTGTTCGTAATAAACAGTTTCCTCTTGCTCTTATAATTGTTTCTTGTTTCACTTTCTGCTCGTTATCTTTATTACATTTATCGTATCTACCCTCTCATTTGAAAATCAGTAGCTTAGTTGTTTTTTATTCTATACAAAACATTACTAGTACTTAGTAGTTTTTTATTCTATTCATACCCTTATTTTACCCCATTACTATGCATATCACGCCTTATACTGTATTTTACCATATATATTCTCATACCATTATGAAGTTCCAGTGATTGTACTGGAAATTTTTATACTACAGCTGCATCCACTGTAACCATGAGAAGTATTCTATTCCGTTCTCATAGATCATAAAAGCATAAACAGATTCCTTACCTCTAAGTTAATAATCAAATTATATTATAATTTAGTTAACTTCCATGAGATATAGTTCAAAAATATTAAAACTACTATTCTAAAATATTTATTCGCATTAAGTATTATTCCAAATCATTTATTCTAAGAAAATTAGACTATTTAGCACGTTTTTAATTAGAACATTTGTTTAGAAAAACTTATACATACCACATAATCTAGTTCATCAAAAATGATCTTTGAGTAACTCAGTGACCATGCCCTGTAATATTAAGAAAATAATCAGCTGAAACAAATACTCATGGATACGGAGTATATATGTATACTCAAACTGTACATGTATGTATTTAAACATTCACTTGCATAAAAGAAAAATAATTAATTGATCACTTTATGTATAACATATAAAATATGACTTATGTTTGTTGATAATTAGATTTGTAATAAAAAGCATGTGTTTTATGCCCAAAAAAGAACTGTTCACTTCCACGCCTATCGAATTAATTTCCACCTTTTCGTTGCCCTGCGTTGGCAAACACACTTCTGAGATTTGTCGTTCGTAGAATTCGGTCGCTCAAAGCGTAGCTGGCCTGTAACAGTTGTAATTATTATTTTATAGCTTATCTGTACTGTTGAATTATTACTAATTGTTTACGACAATGTTTTATTATTAAATGTATTCAGTTTGGTTTAAATAGACCGAGAGTGACTGAATTTATTAAGTATATTTAAAGTCGAAACTGCGTCATCCATTTCGGCGCCATTCTAACACAGGAACGTAAACAAGAACAAAAATTGTCCTTTATAAATAATACATAAAAATGTATGCATCTGTTAATTTACAACAAAACACGTGTTTTCAGCTTAAAAATCAGAAAAGTAACCAAGCTGCACTTGAACTCACAACCTCTTACGCATTGTTAACAGTGCACAGTGACCATGTTAACCATTGGGTACACATTTATTTGAAACGTCTTTGCACTTGGAGCATATTTAATTTTGTGGAAAAGTAAAAACAGTAGATTTTATCAATAATTAATTTATTTCGTATTATTCATTGTATATACTTCTACATAATATTGAAATAACTTAAGCAGTTAGTATTACAAAATACTTTTAAACAAATAAACTCTGGTTATAATAAATAGCAAATTATCAATAATTTTAAAGCGTGTGGTACTTTTCAAAACCAGACTAGCAAATGCAGTGATACTTTGCATTCTTTGCATTGCTAGATAGTATCCTTCCTAATTTGGTGTTGACGTATCAGAACGCCATGTGCTTCGTTGCCCAAACAAATGCAACAAATGATCTGATGACGTATCAGAACGTCATGCGCGTCTTCGCCCAAACAAATGTATGACGTACTGATACGTCAAATGTAGCCAGAGTTAATAATACACACGAAGAAAGCAGAAAAGTCAGTAACTATAGAAAAACGGAAATAGGGCCAACTGTAAATAAAAAAAAAATTCGACTTCTTGATTCTCAGAGCTTTCAAAACATAAGAATACAGCAATGCAAAAAAATGAGGTAAAAAAAGAATCATTCTGTAGTTTACAATAACGAATCACTTGTGTTAAAAGAGAAAAAAATCCTATCATTTATAAAGAAATCATTTGGAAATTATGATCTAAAATAAATGCCATATGATAAATTAAATTTGTTAAAATGATAAAAAATACATAAAAAGATTTCCCTGCATATGTAATTAGTAAATAAAATACTGATACAGGAGCTGGCATTGCTCTTTCGACATATGATTACCGTATGCAATATTGTTGCAAATGTTGGTCACTGTTGTTGTCAATTAAGTTGGCAGCAGTTTTGTTGCCTACGACACTCAGAGTCATTCTTGCTAACACATGTGCCAGCAACATGTTCCTGATGATGTGTCAGCAATGTGTTTTCTTGTGTAAATGGACTGATGCAGGCAACGCTGACATTGAGAGAAACTCATTCAGAAACATAATGCCCCCTAGCGTACATAGGACTTCAGTGATTTTCAATGGCACATCTTTGGAAAACTGTTGGTTACAATGAATGAACAATGTTATGTGATAATTAAAAAGAACTGAAATTTTAAATAAGATTATTCTCTAGATTAAATATTTAGCAATTTGTTTTTTAAAGGTACAGTATGGATGAAAGAAAAATTGCACGAGAGAATATAAATTGATGATATTTCATCAACTTTGATGAGATGCGCAGATAACACAAAATGCACTGATATACCAAATAAAGTACATTTTTTTTTCTTTCAAATTTCTCAAAAATACTGAGCCAAAATTAAAAAATATGTGGTTAAATAGTAATAATTAAATAATGCTGTGCCAGATATGTAATCAAACTTATACATGCAGGTGAATGATATAAGAGAAGAACAGCCATGTTGCCCAATGAAGATCAATATTTAGCACTTTCATCCAGGCACCAGACCAGAGGATTGTAGTAATCATTTTATGAGTTCTTTGCTACTAGAACCTAACATTCAAGAATTATTGCTTCCCATGGGTTTCATGAGAGAAGGCTTTTTGCCAGAATAACTGTTATTTGCAGCCTACTCCCTCTCTCACATGATACAGCTTACTTCACATGATCCAGAGAATGTCAACCTTAGATCAAATTTCGGTGGACTCAAGCTGTCTCCAGTGTGAGACTGGATCTAACCTAGAGCAGTGGTCTGAAACCCAAATTGCGTGCAGATTGAATGAACGATTTGAAAACAGCTAACAGTCCAAAATCGACATTTTTTTATCAAGAAAATAAATAACTATTTTAACTAGATTTTAAATATTTATCAAAACATGTATAAAAAATAATAAAATAAAGGGAAAAAATTCAGATTTATATTTATTTTCCATTTAAAACTTAATGTTTGGTACCTGCAAAATATTTTTGATTACACATTTTAATTCAAACATACTAACATCTAAATATTAATATTTCAGACTGAAATTTAATTTAAACAATTATAATCAGTTTAATTAATCATTAAATAACTTCAATTTAAACTAAACACAAGCAATTTATGAAAACTTTCCAAGTGGGACGAAACTTAATATATAATGGCAACTGGTCTCTTTTTCTTATTTATAAAATATTTTCCTGATACATAAATTAAAATGCACATGCTGATATATAAATAATTATAAACTTCATTACATTTTACTACAGTTAATGCTGATACTTAATGGAGTCTCGATCCTGATAATTGGAACCTTGGAGAAAAATTACTACTGAAAACTATCTTCATCACGGATTGTAGATGTTCATCGATCAGTTAGATTCTGTTCTTATTAGATTTCAGTTTTGAAAAACAGCTGTTCATATATAACTGTATCCTAAACAAAGCGATTATTCTTATACTAGCGCTAAGATTCTTAATTGAGCGTACGTTTTTGACAAGTACGAATAAAAGTCAATGAGATGTGTATGCTCAGACCTTTGAAGAAGATTTATATTACATTTTTTAAAATTAATTAACTCAATTTATAGATTTTTTGGTGCTGTATTCACGTTTATTTTTAGTTGTATTGAAATTAATATAAGCTCGGATTTCAAATAAATAAAATCTTGAAATCTGCAACAAATATATAATTGAAATAATGTATTTTTAGGCTATATAAAATTGCTTCAGGGATCGCCAGTTTGAGGCCATTCATATAGAATTTTTTTATGCAATTTCATCTGAAGAGAGTTTGAGACCTGATACAATCCTTCTAACAAATGCTAGTAAAAGTGGATGGGACAACATATTTTCACCATTTGTCGTATAGTTATAGTTCCCTGCACAAACTGCGCATTTCCGCCCCAATTTTTAAGGCAGAACCCGTTAGAACATGGTCCGATGTTCTCCCACCAACCTCTTAAGAGGACTTTCAGCTCGACGGGAATTTTGAGAGCCCCCATGCCGCATCATCATCATAGATGTTCAAACAGTCCCACTGTGGGAAAATGCATTCCTCTGAAATTTCTCCATGTTGATTCTTTGATTATCTTCGATCTCCAGATGTTCTCATTAATTATTAGGAAATTAACTCAATCAGCCGCGGTCTTTCCTGCCTTCGCATTTGGGTTTAAAAAGTAATACTTTTTTAAAAACACAGTTATTCCGCATTCAGATCATGTTAGCCATCCAATTCATTCTGTTAATTTTTATTTATTTCGAGATATCAGGGGGTAATTTATATATTGTAAAGCTAAAAATTGTAGCTCCTCATCCAAATTAATTTTCATTTATACTAACAACATCAAAAATTGCAGTGTGGCTTTCCTCCAGCTTTATCATTATGCAAGTCTTAGTAGCGTATGTCAAAACAAGTCTGACAAGCATTTTGTAAATCAAAAGCTTCGTTTTCCTTGATAGAATCTAGATCTGAAAGACCTTCTTTACTCATAAAAAGTCTTATTTGCCAGATATAGCTGATTCTGGATTTCAGGAGAATTCTGGTATCAGTTGTAATAATAGATCTCAAACAGATAAAACTCATCAATGATTCAAAATTATAGGAGTCAGCTTCAAGACAGGAAGCCGGGATTCTCTTTTTTTTGAAAATAAAAGCTTTCAAATATATATATATATATATATTGCTTCCTTCTCATTTATAATTAAATCCATTCGACTTGCCGCTAACTTAAGAGCAGGGAAAGCCTCTCTTTGAGCAGGAAAAACCCTAGCAATCACATCAACATCGTCAGACACATATTGACTCCGGAGCATGTGGGAAAACAATATGCTGTGTATTAGAATATACACCAAACTTTAATAAAAATCGTCAGACAATATTAATAATCAAGTATTTCATTATTAGCAAGTTAATGCCTTGCTAATAAAGAGATTAAATAAATAATAATAAACTATAATTTACTGAATGAGATATTTGACAATTTAACAGTCATTTTATTGTTTTAATTGGTAATTAGTTTATTATTATGCACTTTTCTTTATTTTCTAATTTGAAAAAAAAAAGTAGTTTGAACCTACATTACATTTGTGTTTGATGAGTGGATTTTCTTCACTTTTTTCTAGGCTCGTATTAATTATTCTTATTATTTAAAAACCACAGAATTATCCAGTAAAATCACATATTTTTATGAATTTGTTATTTTTCAAATATAAAACATCGGGCGTCCACGAAGCACGGCAGAAATTTAAAAGTAGCCTTTAAGGCAAAACCGGTTCGTCACCACTGCCTCAGAGTATGGACTCAGTGGATCTTATACCTTTGATTTTTTTCTTTTTACTTTTCAAGAGGAATTTCTACTCAAAACATTTTAAATGCTAATGAGTATATTTGAACTTTTTAAATTATTAATTATAAAAATGAAATTGTATCAAATAATTTAAATAAAATAATACTTAATTAAACAAAATACAAGCTTATATTTTAATTTTTAATTGAAATCAAGACTTACCTTAGAAATATATCATCTAAAATTATTTGATTTTTAAGAAAAGTTATAAGGATTTGCTTTAAGATTTCAGAAACATCCAATATTAAACCTTCATTATCCTACAAGCATATTGTTCGGGTTAATAATTTATTTCGGAAACAATCTACAACAGACATACATAAAATTCAACACAATTATCATAATTAAAAATATTAATAAAATTAAAATGAAATTTAAATCTTTGCTGGAAACTAAACCACTATTTTTCATGACAACATAACAGCACTGAAGCATCTCAAAAAATCACCTCTTAGAGAGAGGTTTGAAGATGCAAGGATCTAATTTAAGAAACAATCAAATACACTCTTTTGAAAAACAATCGAAGCACCAAGAAGGACTTTTGCGATCGTGACGAAATTTGGTATGCAAAAGCATCTTGATCGAACATGCAAATGATCAAAGTTTCAAGGCAAATGAACAGGAAATACGATCATAGCGCGCATTTCTAGTGCGCAATTCGCAAAGTGTAAAACCAATAACGGAGGTGGAAAATTTATCTTTTTTTGTTGCTGCCATTGTAATTCCGTAAGGAAACAACTAAAAATGCCATTATGACGATATCGAAGACCTTACAGACAACTAAAGACTTCGAACGTGGTCGCATTGTAGGGTTGCGTGAAGCTTTGTGGTCATACAGATCAATAGGCCACCACCTGCAGCTGCAGCGTACAGACACTGCTGTGCAATGATGTTGGCAGCAGTGGTTGCTACAAGGAAATTGCCGACGAAATGAAGGCGCTGGAAGGCCAAGGAGCACAAATGCGAGACAAGATAGGATGATTGTTCGCCAGGCCCGAACCGCCCCCAACGGTATCATTGGCGACTATTCAACGCATTACACCCACGTATATACTTCCCTCGGTACCGTCCACCATCTCACGGCGCTTGTCTGAGGCGATGTTACGCTCACAGACGTTTGCCTTTGACCCTACAACATCAGCGGAGTCGTCTGGAGTGGTGTCGCAACCAATCATCATGGCTGCCATCAGACTGGCATCGTATAGTGTTCAGCGATGAATCCCGCTTTACTCGTGAAGCAGATGACCACCGTGTTCGCGTTTGTAGAGGACGGGGCCAGCGGTCCCAATCAGCCTTTGTTTTAAAAAGGCATACAGCCATAACCCTGGTGTGATGGTGTGGGGTGCTATTTCTTATGACAGCAGGTCATTTTTAGTCATCTCCCGTACATATTTAACAGCTAACTGCTGAACGATATGTTGATACCATCCCGAGGCCGGTTGCATAGCCTTTCATGGCACGTCATCCTGGGGCCATTTTCCAATGATTTTCCAATGTCAGGCCACATACCTCTCACATATCTCCGGACTGTATCGGTGCGGTTGATACTCTTCCTTGGCCAGCAAAGTCAGCAGACCTTTCACCAATCGAGCATGTCTGGGGCATGGCAGGCCGCCAGATTCGGGCACCACAAAATATCGCATATCTGGAGCGACAACTGATGAATGCCTGGCAGAATGTGTCGCAGGAGGACATTAGGAACCTCTACCATTCCTTGCCTCGACGAATTAAAGCATGCATTGCCGCCAGGGGCGGTTCGACCATCTACTAAGTTGAACACTTAATAGGTGATTGTGAGTCGTGAACAGGTACTGTGACCTTGATTTTTTAATCATTTTATTATCTGTGTATGAGCTATGCACATATTCAGTTTGATCAAAAGCAACCACTTACTTCATGGTACTTCGACTTTTTTTTTTTTTTCCAAAAAAGTGTAACTTAGGCTTTTAGATTATAACATTTTTGGTCACATGACACCTTTTTAGTAAAAAATACATAACATTTAAATTTCACACAGTAACTGTTCAGGAAACGTCCAAATTAGCAAGCTGTTCATCATACTAAATATCTTTGAGGGCGGATAATATCTCTGATGGACAAAATTGGTCCACAAATTATCAAAATAACACGAAAGAAATTACTTTTGTCTGAGGATCGCAAATATATGCCCTTTGTTTGACACAAAATTTCAAATTTTAACATTTCAACGAATTAAACTTTTAAGGTCTTGCTTCTATATTAATATTTTTTTAGATGTAAAATGTTATGTTTTTTAAATTAGCATTCAAAAAATTAAGAGCGTTAAGATGATATATATAAGAAATTAATATACTTGATGTCATTTCTCAGTTCCACTTTAGGGGCCCACCAGCGGCCGAGCGGTAAAGACGCTGAACACTGGTAGTTCGGTCCGAGGTTCGAATCTCGCGAACGGGCTGGCTGGGCGTTTTCATGGTTTTCCCTATGTTTAACGGGTATACGAGCCAGTTTCCCTTAGAAAGTCCTCCACGAAGGCATTCCTCCTCTTAGGCAGATAGCCCTCGAGGCTTTGCCATAATCACACACACATAGTTCCACTTTAGGGAATCTTTTTTTCAATGACAGTAGCAGTACTTTTAAAGCGTATGTATTTTATGAAAGCACTTCAAACTGATACATATGAATTATATTTTGAAACATTACACTTTCAAGTATCAATACGACATACATGATGTTCTTTTAAACTGAAACTACTGAATCATGTGTAGTCCTATCTATCAGCTGGAATGCCTCCAAATAATAACGATGAGATAGGGAAAAAGAATCCCGTGAAAAAAAAAAATCCGAAAGTTGCAGGATAGGGGAAAATATGGCACTCTTCTAGTCTACACAACTGAAAACTTGCATGAAACGCAGGTAAAATTTGAAAATGCAACTGCTCGGCTACATAAACGACATCAGCTTCAGTAATTCAGTCTATAATGATATGGGGAAAACAGCGGAAGCTTCAACATGCGTCTCATTTATGTCAGTGCATGATACATATGAGGCTGTTTTATCTTCATCAATCGAACGCAATCGCCACTTTTCGTGAGTTTAGAAATCGCAACAACCTGCCTGAAGACCCTCTGTTAATTAAAGAATTGGAAGGCCTGATTCTAAAGCTCAAAACATCAGGATCCTTAGCAGTTCGGTTTGGTAGAGAGCAGAAACCCTGTGTCAGAATAGACCTCTGTGATATCGCGACTGCAATCATTGACTGCACTAGTGGGACTCTTGTTGGTAGCATCAGCGGCCGAGGAATAGCGTGAAAATTGGATTTGAAGCAGTCAATAGTATAGAAAATCTTATGGAAAGTGATTCACTTTTACCCATACAAGATAAGGCGCGCGCAGAAATTAAAACACAACGATTATGATTATAACAACAACGCTGGCATATCATCTGACGTTTCTTGCTAGGATGGAGGTCGACGATGCTTAGCCGTTGCTTAGCCGTGGAAAGATGAGTGGCCAATTCTGTGGAAAGATGAGGCCTAAACTTTTTCATAAACAGGACTGTTAAAACTCACAATTCTTTTAATTTGTTAATCTGAACAATTCCATGCAGTTCATTAAATTCCATTGTATTTACCGAGAGTCACTATTTAGTGTGGCTTCACAGCAGATTTCATCAGTGGATCATTTTTCTAATGAGAATATAACTTTAATAGGATGATGCATTTTAACCTTTACTGCAAAAAATTATCTTGATATGATGACTAGTTTTGTCAGTCTCCAACTTCAATAGCGGCGTTTCTGTAACCGGTCATCTTTATGCAGGACGGAGCACCACCGCACATTGGTCAATCGGTTTAGCGCCTGCTGCGCCATCACTTTTATAATAAAGGGTCATACGTCGTTTTTTCCACTTGCATAACCGCCTCACTTCCCAGATCTAATGCTATGAGACTTTTTTTATACGGTTATTTGACGTTCAGGGTCTGTCTTGCTGGATCTCGACTTCGACAACAATAAAGGACAACAGATCAAGGGGTTTTCTGAACATTCCTGTGATATGTTACGTTCGGCCGTTGAGAATGTTGTGTATAGGATGCAATGTGTGAACCACGAGAAGTAGTCACATTGTAAGTGTTACAGGTCTATGTTCTTTCTGAGAAAGTGCTTTTATTGAATAAAATCCTACACTGAAATATTATTTTTTAACTCTTAGGGCAGTCATTTGCTGCATTAAAGCGGTGTTAAACAAAATTTCTTCTTTGTAACTGCTTTGTCTAGTTCTCAGCTGTGTAAATTAGAACAGCGCTATATTTTCCATATCGGTAGCTTTCGGAACTCACGGAATCTTTTTTCACATTCATCATTCATCCTCTTATAAATTTGGTGATATTTTCGCTGATAGCTCTATCTACACATGGCTCTGATTACTGTCAGTTTATTCAAAAGAATATAGTAAAGTTACATTAAATTTAAATACTTTACTATATATATATATATATATATATATATATATATATGTGTGTGTGTGTGTGTGTGTGTGTGTGTGTGTGTGTGTAACATTTATAAAGCGCAAATTTGGGAGCACCGAAATAAGAACACTGTGAGGTAGATGCGCAGAAATGCTGATTGCAAAGATAGTTGATGCTTAGAGCGTCCATCCGTTTTAATGATGAATAAACAGTCGAGCTGAATCAAAATCCACATTTATTTAAGTTCACGTTTTGTGGCCGCAATTCACTTGGCACTCTAAGCGTGCCCATTTCCAGAATATTCACAATTTTGATACTATACCGGTAGAAGATTGCCTAAGCGTCATAGCAAGATGAATGCGTAAGCCAGAAGAGAGAGAGAGTGTGTCGCAGTAGTACTGCAGAGGAAGAAGGGAGGGAGGCAAACAGTTTCTATTCCGAATTTTGGTTTATAATTACTTTGATTGGGCAAGAGAAATCTGCATTAAGGGTTATGTAAAATCGCATGATTAATTTGATGACGCAGTTTAGATTTATGGCTCTATTTCTAACACAGGGAGATGAAGTTTCCAATTTAAATAAAAACAAAAGAGGTTATAGTGTGTAGGAATTTATATTTATTTTAACTAATAATTTAAATTTTAGTTCAGACTTTCTTATAAGCCTTCATTCCTCTAATTGTCAGTGCCAGAATAGTTAAATTTGGTAGCGCGCGTGAAGAATGCAAATTCTACTTTGAGGGGGAAAGTTTAAATATCGAGGTTTTAGAAGGGGAGTGAGAGAGTTGGGTTCGAGCAGTCGTCTTTGCCATAGGTACAATTGCTGATTGCTGGTTCAAGTAGCTTAAATGCATTGATCTGCTGTCACTAGTGTTTGAAGGTGGTCGAAGTTCGGTATCTCGCTGAGCCCTGTAGGTTAGTTTAGCATTTGTTAAAAATTTCGAATTTTGATTTTCAATTACTTGCTGTTCAATTACCGCCCAAGTAGAGGCGAATTTTGTTAGCGTCGAGTTGACGCAGTGTAAATTTTAAAGAGTTAATAAAGGGTTTGAAGCCTTCTTCTGTGTAGTTTCCTGCTACTCCTGTATCCAGATAGAAGTTAACCCGCCTGGACACTACAAGTGAATTAAAATTAGAAGTTTGATTTCATATTTTTTATCTTACACACACACACACACACACACACACACACACATATATATATATATATATATTGTATACCAAAATGATTAATTATTAATAACTGTCATTCATTTTTATTATAAATCACACAAGCATATTATTCTGAATCACTTTGATGTACGTTTTTTGCTAATAAACTACTAATGATTATTATACATTATCTTTAGATACAGTAAGCGCTGCTTAATGTGATCGCGCTTGTCCAAGACTAGTTTGATAACTTTAAGCGATGAGAAAAACATCAATAGAATCTGACCAATTTAATCTCCATATAACTAATATACCATAAAGCATCCCTTATTTCAACATTTACAGGAAATTTACCAATTTTATTTATTTATTTTTTTCTTCTTCTTTCTTTTCCTTCTTCACATGATGTTCTTCGATTTGCTTCAAAAAGCAATTAGCAGATATCGTTTTCTGTTACTGATGCTTCAACTTGAATTTTTTCAGATATTCCGCAGCGAAAAAGCAAGGTGATCTAGAATTCAGCTTCATTATTCGCTAAGTCTGATAAATGTAGTCAATCGTCCTAAAACTTGGAAAACGGGTTTATTTGCACACGGTAGTCTTAAATCAAGACTAAATTGATTGGGATTTAATTTCTTATCTCTGCCATTTGGCGATTTCTATAGTCTATTTTGACCTTATTTGGCGCTTTTATCTTTTAATTTGCGATTTTACCTCAGCTTTAAAAAGTCTATTCTGCAATATTTTTACATCATTAACCGAACTGTTGATCATAATAAGCGATGTGCTTTCCCTGTTTTTGTATTTCATTGGTTTCAGGACTTCAATAATTTGATAACAGTAATGTTTGAGTGATAACATTAACCACGATCACATAAAGCGTGGCCTATTGCATTCTTACTTCTCTGTAATGGAAAAGCATATTACCAATATAAAAATAAATTTGTTAAATTGTTTTGTTGCGTGTTCCCCAAATGTTGTATTTAAATATAGGAAATTTCAGGATTTAGATTTATTAAGATATATCCGAAAGCCTTTATCTTGATATATTTTCCAGTGGTTCTGAAAAACTTCTTGATTACAACTAAATGAATCTAGCTGTGAGATGCACATAATGCTATTATTTTAATATTTGGCAAAATTTGAATCTTTACCCAAAAGAAAAGTCATGTTACTTACTTCCAAATCTTGTCTATAATTAGCAATTATACTAAGATACCACTCCATAGCTTCTTCCTAAAATATATAAAAGATTTTTTACAAATGTTAACATTTAAAAATTTTTTTATATTGCTATTCAAAGTCAAAATATTCCAAACTCTGCAGAAAAGGATATTTAATATGAATTCCAAGAACATCATTGCCAGTTTTTTCTTCTTTTGAGATAATGCGAACTCCCACTTCCAAAACATTAGACGATTTTATAAATATTTGACAAGACACACAATCTCTTATTGAATAAAAGGATAAAAATTATTTAAAAAAAAAATCTACCTTAGGCTGAGATATATTTTGAATTAAACTCTATCAATTTTGGGCAAAATTGATACATCTTATTTACATCTGAATGATACACATAAAATAAAAATTTAATAATATGTAAAATATAAATTTTAATGATGTTAAATAATATGCAAAAATAAATTTATTCAAATAGAAAGTTTTGATCTATGTTTGATAATTAATATTTATATGGATTTAAAACATTTACTTAAGCCAGTGATTCTCAACCTGTGGGGCGCGCCCCCCTAGAGGGCGCGAGCACACTAATGGGGGGGGGCGTGAGCATATCCAAGAGAAAATGTTATTAAAAAAATTGATTAAGTGACTGAAAGGAAAGAACACACACACACACATACAAAACAAAATATATTCGACATATTTAATAATTAACTTATTAAATTAAAACAACTTACTAAATTAAAAACAAATTTAATAATTATTAGTGACTTCCTTGGGCCTGTCTTGCAGAGCAAAGTTTTTCAAAGGAGGGTTTAATATTAGAAATAGACACTCTCAGTTCTTTTTCTATATTTAGCTGAGATCTATATTTTGTGTTCAAAGAAGCTACCGCAGAAAATCCAGTTTCACAAAGGTAAGATGTTGAAAATTGTAGTAGAATGCGAAATGCCTTTGTTTTTAGTGCAGAAAACTCATCATCCACTCCTGCCCAAAATTCAAAGAGTGATTTATTACTAAATTGTCTTTTGATTTCGCCGCTTGCCGTGAAGTCTATGAAGGTTTCTTCCTCTTCAGTTGAGAGTCCTTCGGGAGTATTTTGAAACGGATCCCTCACCCACTTGTAACTTGGTTTCAGTTAGTTTGCCGTCAGCAAGAAAGTACTTTTTAAAATTCTTTGCTAGCATTGCTAAATGATTTTCAATGGTTACAAAAACAACTTTTACATGTTGTTCTTCAGCCTTGTAAGTTTTAATGCAATCATTCAAATTTGCAAACATTGTTAAGTTTTCTTGCTTTAAATTTCTGCTCCACAATTCCAATTTCCTACAAAAAGCATTAACTTTATCACTCGTATCCAATATATGTGTATTTGCTCCTTGCAGTTGAAGATTCAAGTTATTTAATTTCTCGAATATGTCGACCATGTAGCTCAATTTCATCACAAATAAACTATCGCGAAAATTCTCAGCTTCCGGTCTGTTTTCCTCTTCTAGGAAAACGGCGATTTCTTCTCTTAATTCATAAACACGTTGCAAAAATTTCCCTCGTGATAACCATCTTGCCTCGCAATAAAATAGTAACGCTGAATGTACTGCACCCATGTCTTTACAAAGTGCGGAAAAGATTCTTGATTTCAGAGGTCTCATTTTTATATAATTTACTACGGTTACAACAGTAGTTAACACAATATTCAAACCAGGACTCATTTCTTTGGAAGCTAAAGCTTCTCTGTGGATCACGCAATGTGTCCAGACGCACTGTGGCGATTTTTGTTTCACAAGTGCTTGAATACTTTGGAATCTTCCGGACATAGAACGAGCACCATCGATGCATATTCCGACGCAATTTTTCCATTCTATGTTTGCCTCGTTCATAAAATCATTTAGGATAGCAAATAATGCGAGTGCTGTTGCTTTGAGCAGAAAAGTAATTCTTCTACTACTGACAAATCATCACAAAATCTAACATAGGTAATGAAATGAGCATCTTTATTACTATCTGTTGCCTCATCGAGTTGTATTGAAGACAATTTGTCACGTAACTTCGACAAAAGCTGACACTCTACATCTTCAGCTATATCAGCAATTCGACAGGCAACAGTATCATTTGAAAGAGGTATAGACTGCAATTGTTTTGCAAAATTATCGCCAAACATAATTTCTACAATTTCAATCGCGGCTGGCAAAATAAGCTCTTCACCAATGGTGTGAGGCTTTTTACATCTGGCTATTTTATATGAAATTTTGTAACAGGCAATTAAAGCTTTTTCGTTCACAGACAAAGTTTTTTTAAACAATGATTTTTGCTTTTCATATGATTTTAATTTTAATTTGAAGAATTCTCTGGGTTTGTTTACGTACTCACTATGAAGCGTTTCCAAATGTCGTTTAAGTTTATTAGGTTTCATGCTGTCTGCCGCCAACATTTTTGAGCAAATGATACACAGGGGCCTTTCTTCTTCATTTACTTCAGTACTAGTGAACCCAAAATTTAAGTATTCTTGAGAATATTTTCTTGATTTTATTTTCGGAACCACGCTCGTCTGTGTACTTGTTGATGTTTGTCTATCGTCTAATGCTCGCTTACGCCCGCTTAAAAATTTATCCATGATTCTGCATAAGTCTGCTGCCGTGAATATTTAATACGGTGAATTGCAATTACACGAAAATATATATAACATACACATTCAGAATAGATTCAATAGCGATAGAAGGATCGACTCGAATGAGATTGTCTGGAATTGAAATTGGCGTCATAGAACTTTCTCCTTCTCCCTATGAGAAAACATTTGTTCACATCTGCGCACGCTCCTAACTTAACTTTTAAGCTGACCAGACAAATTCCAGACAAATCGAAACTTCTCGCGAAACCGTAAAAAAGCCCGACATGGCGGGACGCAAGAACAATAAAAATGCATAGGATTCTTGTGTTTTCAATGCTGAGGATCGTTTTTTTTTTTTTTTTTTTGTTTTTTTTTTTTTTTTTTTTTTTTTTTTTTTTTTTTTTTTTTTTTGTTGCAAAATGTCAATAAATTTCCGTATTCTTGGTAATTTGTAAAGTTTAAGATTAAGGTTGTAGTGTAGGTTTAGCGCCAAAATACTCAAAATACATTATTATTGTATACATTTTATTGTATGCGGTGGGGAGGGGGGGGGCGCGATGAAAATTATGATTGAAAATTGGGCCGTGAATACTAAAAGGTTGAGAAACACTGATTTAAGCTCTAGATTAATAAACCTTTTTTAAACTACTTTGTATTTGTAAATACACAAAATAGTCCAAATTATACAGTTTTTGTAATTATAATTAATGGAATTTATCGCTGAATCAAGCATTAGACTGATTTCAAACTTCAGATAAAAGGTGAAAGTATCTTGGCTCTTAACAAATTAATCTATTACTAAATATTTCTAACTTACATGTGTACTTTCATACCTCACATATACTTACGTTTTGCAGGATTCTTCAAAATTTTCCAATGAATTTATTTATTAATTAGTTTGAGAATTTGAAATAATAAATGAGGTTCTTTCACTAAAAGAAAATGCTTTAGAACATGAAAATTTATTTCCATTGTTTATTAATCATTGTGAGTTGTCATACTGAAGTTATTAAAAATTGGTAAAGAGACATGTAGCAGATTTTGAACTATGACAGATTTATGTATGAACAAAATGCAAATTAACATGACACGCTTTTATCCATTCTTTCAATACATATAAGTATGTGCTTTAGTAGCGCAAACAATTTGCCAATATATTCCAAAACTACTTTAGAAAAAGGTGGGCTTTTAACGAAAATTTACGATTAAGTTTCTCATGACCGACAGTTTTGCAAAATTTTCTAAGCAATTTTCCGAATGTTCCTGAATAAATTATTCATAAAATTCTACTGAAAATGAAATGCAAATACAGAAAAATTTTACTAAATTTTTTATGGTTTATTTTAACTTAAAATAAAAACAAACTAGTTATATTAAGCCATTAAGTAACAAAACATTCTTTACAGCTGTTGCTATTTATATTTCTGGCCTAATAATAAAAACCAAATGTTTATGACAGTAACTTGTTTTATTGTTTTGCCAAATATTCTCCATGAAGTGCATGTATTTGAACCAATTTTCGAAACACTTTTCCCACTCCAGTCGAAGTAACTCCAAAACATGCGTCTTGAATGCATCAACCGCTCCTTCGGCTGTCACAAATCGCTGACCACGTAATTTATTTTTGAGGTGCGGGAATAAAAAAAAAGTCAATGGGTGCAAAATCAGGGCAGTACGGCGGATGACCCATCAATTCGATGTTTTGGCCCGTTGAAAATTCCTTTGTTTGAGCTGATGTGTGAGAGCTCGACAGTTCTGCGCTGCTCTAATGCCACTGTCGCCGTGTGACCGGTGATGCTGAAGAAACAGGTTCTTCTGTGAACAACTTTTATTAGATTTGGCTCGTCTTGGAAGGTCCATACAGTCGACTGCTGTTTTGTTTCGGGCTCATATGCATACATCTATGATTCATCACCTGTGTAGATGTTATGCACAGCCTTTGATGCCACTTTTTGAGTGTTTGTCAAATTATGAGGGATCCAACGAGAAGAAATCTTTTTTTTTTTTTTTTTTTTTTTAATGGTCAAATGTTTCAGTTAATATCTTATTGACGCTTATCATACTAATTCCTCTTCTTACGGTATGTCACATGACAATCTTGCTTTATCAGTTCACGCACAGCATCGATATTTTCCGGCACAACGGATTTTGGATAACCTTCACGGAATTCGTCCTGGACTGAACGTCGACCACGACTGAATTCGTTATACCAGTTTTTCACAGTTCTGTAGGATGGTGCTTTATCGCTGTACAAAGAATTAAGTTCATCGAGGCACTCTTGTCTTGATAATGCACGTCGAAAGTTATGAAAAACATTTCCACGAAAATGTTCACGACACAATTCTATTTTTTGCCCGAGATGAATTTTCAGTTTACTATAAATCAAACATATCACGCTAAAATGGCAAAACGTTCTGAAGAAGTTATGGTTAAAAATATCAAACTTTCGATTGGAATCATCTGCGGTCGCCTAGCAACACTTACTGTTGTCAAGGACAGAAATATAAATAGCAACTTTCGTATAACATTTAATTAAGATTATGAGATGGATTAAGATGAATTAAGTACAACATTTGTAGAGACATTAGGTTATTTCAAAGCAAGAGAGATGAAAAATGAGCAATGCCCTCGCCACGACTTGAACCACGGACGTCTCGAATACGCGTCTAGCGTGCTGCCCACTACACCACGAAGGCATGTTAAGAAGACGGGAGAAATACCTTATATACTCCCCCTTTTAAAAGGCGACTGGGAATTAGGGGACCCAACAGCCAAATCCTGGTGGTGGAGAATCATCATCCACCATCTTTTTTAGTTCCGGCGCCACTGTAGAGACATTAGGTTATTTCGAAGCAGGAGATGAAAAATGAGCAACGCCTTCGCCGGGACTCGAACCACGGACCTCTCGAATACTCGTCGAGCGGGTTGACCGCTACACCACGAAGGCATGCTAAGAAGGCGCTAGAAATCCGTTATATATTTACAGACGAATCAAAACGCCAGTTTAAAATTTAGTTAGAAAGCAAAGTCGTTTGTAGATTTCAAAAGTAATTTCGAAATAATTCCATTCCAAATTTTAAAATCAATTCCAAAAGCAATAACTCAAAATCAAAAATTTTGGATCAGGTGAAGATTAAAACGTAAGTAAGTATTTACACCAAATATTTTATCTACTGCGCTAAAAAAATCAGGTCATTAATTGAAAGATTTTTTTATTTTATTAAAACGTTCATACTTCATTATTCCTTGCAAAAGTTGCAATGAAGTATATCTTTATCATATTAAAAACAAAATACAGTAAGTGTTTTTTATAGGATTCTCACTGAAATAAAAAAAAATTTAATTTCCCTGATCAAATATAAAAAAGTAGTTATGAAATTAAAGATTGACTGAGTAATTTTTTATATTTGCTACAAAATAAAAAGCAGCTAAGAGATACATTATAAAATTTTCATTTCTTTTACCATTATTGTGAAGTAAGTGATGGAAATATGTATTAGAAATATGCATTTTTAAAACAAAATTATTCTAGATAAGGAATATATATATATATCTATATATATACAGGAATATAACAATATGCATTTTTAGAATTAAATTGTTCTAGATTAAAAAAAAGTGGTATTTAATTAATATATTTGTTTATAATAAATGAATAACAAACGTTGTACGGATTTTTTAATTACACTATTTACTTTTGAACGCTAATTGCTCTTGTAATGAAAGGGATAATAAAATACATCTAGTCATGGACTCGCATCCTATTTGCTTACAAGTGACCAGTTTTATGGCTATTCTTAAATAGCGTATTCTACAAACAATTCTTAATAAATAAAAGAATATATCTGAATTATTTAAACAAGAGATTTGAATTTGGCACCCTTTATTAGTTTATGTAATTAGATTTGGCAACACTATACAGTTGTTGCCTCACCTCGCTATTCACTCAGTATACATTCATCAGTTTTTGCAGGAAATCTTTTCCTTCGTGCTCGCATAATTCTCTGATTAATTAATCTACAAAATGGTTCCAAGAAGAAAATCGTTATTCACCTAGCAATCAACAAGCTAAAAAAGGAAAGAAAGGCAATTTACACATATAAATGAAAGTGATTAAACAATATGATGGTCGGAAAAAGGATTAATGTAAACTGCACATTGAAGGACACAATTTATAATAATGTAAAGGAATCTGTTTCTCTGCAGTCCAAGTTATTACTAAATAAAGCTAAACCAATTCATGAAATGAAAAAAATTATTAAATACATGGACTGACCAACTGTAAAAAAGTGCCATGATCACCAGCTTTTACTTAAAAAAATGTGACTATTCTAAACTTTGTGAGATTATGCTAGTAATTTTACAGCTAAAAGTTTACAGATAGTACAGCTGCTTCGAATACTTTAAGCAAAGACTTCAAAAGTATAACATTTGTGCGACAGGCGCGGTAGCTAGATCAGACATAGAACGAACATGTAAAATGTAAATATGTAGAAGTTAATATCATATTTGTTGATGGTGACAAAGAATCTGAAAAAAAAATTCTATTGTAAAAATTGCTTTGCTTTGGGAATGCATGTTCCTTAGAACTTATATTCATAAAGCAGCAAAAAGTATGCCAGTTTTTAGAGCTTATGAATATCAATTAACTTTTCTGCTTGATGGTAATGTCACAGCTTTTAAGTTAAAGCCATTTCTAATTTATCATTAGAAAATTATTCAAAATTGTTAATCAGCATACACTGCCTAGTTTATTTTCACTCCAATGCCAATGGATGACACAACTTTTATTTGAAGACTGGTTTCATCAAAATTATATTATTCCTGGATAATACACCTGGCATTCTGTTACACTTAGTAGATTTAAATCCCCATGTGAACATTGTTTTCTTGCAAGCATAGCATTGTTAGTCCAGCCTATGGTAATATTCTTCGATATCAGGCAAGGTAACATTCTTGTACGTAAGGCAAATTATTCATGTGTTACTTTCGCCTACGTTATTGCAACAAATGCTTCAAATTTGATTGCAGCAAATGTCTCTCAGACTTCATTGCTTGATTTCTGGAAACTGTTTAACATTTTGAATTGCATTAGAATTCTTGTTATTGCTTTGGAAAATGTTAGTAATAATGTATGAATGGAATTTAGAAAAAGATGAGTTAAGTGTGTTACAAATAAATTCAAATTTTTCGATAGTAAGAATTATTGTCAAGTATTCTTGAAGATACTATTATGATCAGTGGAATTTCAAGTTGTTGAACTGCTGGAGAAAACTTATACAGCTTTTCTTTTAATACAAGATAACACAAAAATTTAATTAATAGTGCAATAATATAAAAGTAAAATTTTCACATCAAGATATCAAGCAATAACTCAAAATTATATATATATAGCAATTGCAATAATTCAAAATAATTTAACCTTAAACTTTTCGTTTATTAAATAAAATGTATGAGATCCTGATATAATTTGTTTTAAAGATTGCCATTAAAGATCATAGGATATAAAAAAAATGTTAAAATAAATTTCCCCAATCATTACAGATACTTATATTTAGAGATAACGTCTATGCTAAATACATTATACTTAGATGGCCATATTTATAAATTCTGAAATATATCTCAGGATTTCATTATCATTACGCTTTCTCACTAGAAATTATATCAAGCAATTGAAACTGTCTCCTTATATTAATTCACTTCAATCCATGAAAGATCTACATTTCAAACATTCTCTCACCAATAAAAAAAGATGCACAATTTACCAAAATATAAGAATAAAAAAATGAGCTCACCGATCCTGGTAACAGAGTAGCAATATATATTATATATCAGAATGGCAATAAATAAGTATAAATATAGATATGTAGGTAGGTATATAGATATATGTGCGTTTAGTACGGCCGATTGCAAAGAGAAAGGCAAATACCCAACTGCATGTTACAGTTGTGTATTTCAACGCTATCGTTTTTGAGTTATATGAGATACATACGTACGTAGATACAGACGTCGTAAAAAAATCTCTTCTCCGAATCCATTTTATAATCCATTTTGAAAAAAGGACTACTTTATTTTGTCCGTATGTGCAGATGTGTCCCCCAAATATCACTCAAATGGATTCGGGTACGGTTAAAATGGATATTTTCGTTGAAATATGGTACCCCAAATTTTTCGCGATTACAATACTTCCTTTACTTTGTACAAGGAAGTAAAAAAGGTAATTAATTTTTTTATATAGTTGGTTAATATAGGTAAATAAAGACACAAAAAGTAACATAAAAAACTGCACAGAAATGTTTCTAAACAGCTTAAACCATACTTGAAGAATTTTGTAAGCATCCAAATAAGTAAAGCCTGATTTCTCTTCCAGAAAATGCATGCACCTTAAATAAACGCAAACAAAATAAATTCATAAAATATGAAAGATAATTTTTTCAAAATATATTCAAAAGCATTATATTAGTAAAATTTAAATCATTATTAAAGAACATAACTCTTCTTAAGGAATAAAGAAATTAATATAGTAACAAATTTAAGTATATGAACACTACCATTTTTATATAAATTTAAACTCAATTCATTAAATATAGACTGGTCATAAATTATTGAACACATTTCGTTGATAAACAGCTCATGAAGAGAACATAACAATTTATGTTAAATACATTGGGTCATGCAGAAAGTTATGCAGTTTTTCAATTTAAAATGCGTTTTTTTTTCTAATTATTTTGTGCCCGCTGATAAGAAGTAACCTTAATTGAAGCCTATGTTTAAATACTGTGTTTTATGCTCATTCAATGCTATTCTAACATGTGTTGTGGCATAATTCTTTTTCAGCGTAGTACTAAGAATGAAGAAATCAGAAAGAAAAAATTCATTTTCATCATAATTAACTCTTTTATTCTAAAAAAGTAAAAAATGCTCGCCATATTGCTCGTAAATTATGTACTATATATGGATAAAATGGTATTTCTGATGACACAGGTTCAAAGGTAGTTTGAAAAGTTTAAATTAAGTGCAGAAATTTTAACCTTGAAGATGATGCTAGCTCTGGACGATTATCTTTTGTAAACAAGGATGTTTTAAAAGAAGCTATGTTATACATGTTCGTCTATGTTATACAGTTCGGGAACTACTCAGATACACTGTAAATATATTAGGTATTTTTGATGCGGAAGACATGAAAAATGAGCAATGCCCTCGCCGGGACTCAAACCACGGACTCAACCTCTCGAATACGCGCCGAGTGTGCTGACCACTACACCACGAAGGCATGTTAAGACGGCGGGATAAATATCTTTTAAGACTAAATATTTTAAAAAGTACAATATGCCTCCATTTGAAAAAGACTGGGTATATAAGCTACGATATTTGGTCACCCTATACTTTAACCCTCCAAGGATTATGGACATAAAATTTCGCACAGAAGGATGGCCTTCCAATTTGTTATACTGCAGACTTTCTGCTAACTCCTGATGCATCTAGTTTCAGATTGAATGTATACTGAAAGAAAAGGCGTCAAGATACACTGAAAGGATAATTTTGGAATTAATTACGCAAATAGCACCATTCATGACATTTTTGGGGGAATTTCGGAATTTCAAAGCGAAATTAAGCAAAGCGAAAATAACAACTTTTGTTGCTAAAATTTAAGTGCTAAATTTCTTATTATCCCTTACTGTCTTTCATCCTTATATTCTCTTACGAATATCCTCTCATGTAATAAATTAATTGTCACCTCTCATACCATTCTTAAAGACTTTAATAAAAAAGGTGTTGATGTCATCTTTTCTCATGCACGTGACCACACTGGCAATCTAGGAAATGAAAGGCGTGATTGGTTGACAAATCAGGTTCAGGTTCAGGTTAATACTCCAATGATACTGCCGAAGTCATTCCCCCCCAAAAAAGTAGGAATGAAACAATACTCAAGTGAAATTAATTACACAGAAATTCTAGTACTGTCTCTTTGACTAAATTATTTCTTCCTTCCATTCCTCACGAATGAATAATAAAACTTTTTCTGCAATTTCGAAACTACTAAATTTCTAACTGGACATGGTAATTTCAACTCATATCTGAAGAGATTTGAGCTGTCTAATACAGACTTGTGTTCCTGTTGCTTTGGGGGAGTGTAAAAAATGTCAAACATGTGTTATTCTACTGTTCAATCTTACGGAAGGAAGAAAAGAACTATTTCTAAGTTAAACTCTGTGATATTACATTTCCTCTTCCTCTCAATGTATTTGTTCAAGATAAAATGACATTCTCTTTCTTTTGTATAGTTATCTCTTACGTGTCATCTGTGAATTTGTAAGTTTATTTTATTTTGTGTTGTGTTGTTGCATTTGTTTACTTTTTTTACTTACCTCTGTAAGCGTTATGTAATAAATACTATGTGGTGCACAAGGAATTTATATATTCAATAAAAAATTTTTAAAAAGTCAAAATGCTTGAAGGGTTCATAACGTAGAGTATATGCTTGCTCGAGTACAGGCATGCGATTATTTGATGAAAAGAAATAAACTACTTTTTTTAGATGGCTGATTAATGGAGATAAGAATTGGATCTTATATAAAACAGTAGCAATAAAGTAAGCTAAAAGAATCTCCTTTACTGGAGAGTGGAGTGGAGCTGCACCCCTAAAACTAATTTTTTACATAAGGTGGGATGGCAAAGCAACTGCATAATATTATCGATTGTTAATACCAAAAGAGGCAATAAATTGAGAAAATGATGTTTTCAAATAGAAAATTTAAAAGCAGAAATTAAAGATAAGTTCTCCGAATTAACAAACCATTGAGGGGATGTCTTCTATTATTACAATGCTCGGCCCAAATTTCGACGAATGTCAAACAGACTTAGAGTATGGCTGGGGCGTTTTGTGTTTCATCCATTAGAATTTGCCTCTTTGCATTTTCAAAATCCTCTGAACGGCATTGAGTTCACTCTTTTGAAGCCTGACAAAAGCGCTTTCTTAACTTCTTTACGAATAAATACAGAGGCTGTTCGCACATTTTTAGACGATTTTGGTAAGCGTTAATAAAAAGGCGTTTACTGCAAAAGAAGTAATTGCAATTGTACTATGTTTTTTTAAAGTCAAAATTATCGTCTGTGGCTTGAAAGTTTTGTTTTTATTAAAAATGACGAATTTAACAAAGCAGTGGTTCGAAGGCTACATTTACGCTTTTTCCGAAGAGAAATATGCATACTTCGTTATCCAAAAACGATTTGAGAGTCATGGTTTTGTGATATCTAAAGCGTCGATAGGTAATATCATCAACAAGAAAGGAAAAAAACGTCAAATTGGAGCCTCAAAAGTGGGACAAAAATTCCAAACAAGTATCCAAGGAAAAAACGGACATCTTCGACTACTGCAAAGGTACGTTGTTTAATGTTAAAAGAAAATCCCTTTAGTCAAAGGACAGGTGCAAAATCATTAAAATGCTCGGTGTTCACTGTAAACAAAATGATAAACGTTGATTTAAATCTTAAAGCGAAAAAACGCAATGTGCATCGTCTTCTTCCAAAGCATATCGCTCAACGCAGGACACGCTAACCCCCTGAATTGAGCTTGCATTTTCACAAAATTAAATTCTCTTCATCATTTATTGAACATCTTTTGCATGGTGACATTTGAAAGCTCTTATAATACCCTAAAATTAAGGACAGAATGATTAGAAGTTATATTTATGGGATGAGATACTGGTGTTTTCCAGAACGATGTGTGCACTGCGCAGTTATCTAAACAGTGAAGCTATTTTTTGTTATTTTTAAGTTCGCTGTTCTGTTTCAAAAGAAAAAAAGGGAAAATACTATTTGCCACCCAAACGTTCTTGCAGTTATGGTAAACTGGAAGTAAATTCTTGATTCCTTTGCTGCAGAATTCTATATGAGAAACACTTATCCAAAGAAAAATGGAAAAAAATTGTCCCAATAGATGAAGCATGTGTGTATTTAAATGATTGTAACAAAAAAAGAGCCATTTATTATCATAAAAGGGGAAAAAATTTTAAGTACATGGTTCAAAGAATCGAAAGAAAGTTTTTCTAAGGGATTCATGATTGTTGCTGGTTTTTCTTATAATGACAAGTTAAAAATAAAAAGAGTGCAAAAAAATGTCAAGGTTAACTCCAAATACTATCAGAAACATATTTTATCGCCAATTTTTCTGAATGAAATACCATCGCTTTACCCACAGTGCCATCAATCTGTGAGGCTCCATCAGGACAAAGCTAGAAGTCACACATCAAAATCCACCGTAAATTTCCTAAAAGAAATAGCACAAAAACTGGTATCAAGGCTGATATCCTTACTAAATCTCCCGATGTGTCAACTATGGATTTTTGTGCTTTCGGACTTTTAAAAACTGCATTATCCAAACGTTGTCCCAAAACCCTAACAGGACTCTGGAAAGCTGATCGGGAGGAATGGGATAGAATACCTCTTCTGCCACTTCAAAAGGCATTATTATCCTGGAAATTGCGGTGTCGAAAGATAGTTCAGAATAAGGGATGTCAAATAGACTCCATATTAAGTAAGTTAACAAAGCAGTGGTTCGAAGTTTGGTCTATATTAAGTTAAAAAAGATAGTTCAGAATAAGGGATGTCAAATAGAACATTTAAAACACAAGAATTTTATGCAATTTAGTTTTGTGAATACAATATACATCGTCTAAAAAATGTGTGAACAGCCTCAGTGTAATGAATGAACTTTTTTCAAAAAAAGGATTTTCCAGCTGTCAGAGAGATTTCAAAAAGTCATGAAACAAAAAGGTTATATATGCAATTCAATGAATCTGTCTTACGTTTCTGTACTACTTCATTTTCATTTATCATAAAAAAACTGCTGAATGATGACCTAATATATATATATATATATATGAAAAATGTAAGAAAAATACGCTAGCTTAGCTCTTCGCGAATGCGCAAACTTTAATTAACTTCAATTCAATTACTTAATTGCAATTCAGGATCTTTTCCCTAGACCAGTACCTTCTAGAATTTGCTAGCCTACTACGTAACCGCTACTATAAATAACGAATGCGCGCCATTTTGCGTCAGAAGCTTTCCTCTCTCTGTGCCTTTAGGGTCTGCGCTACTGCGCTTGCTCTCTTTGTTAGAATAAGTTATGATGCATTAAAGTTTAAATACTCTTATTTAGTAACGAATAAATGATCTACAGTGATAATTGAATAAAAGCTATGGAATAAAGATGTACCATTAAAAACTAAATCAACTTGCCTCTTCATTTGAATTAGACTTATCAATCTGCAAAAACCATGCCTGAACTTTGATGCCGACACATACATACATATCTACACACACACGCATACCGTGTTTGCAAAACTCTTTATCTGGCCTTTATTTTCTTAATTGGTGGTTGACAGACATATACTACCAGATAAAAAAAAATGATTTAAATGATGCAAATATTCATGTTTCTGATTATTTATAAATTTTATTAGGAAAATTATGAAACTTTTACGTTATATTTTCCTTTATACTTATATATAACAAAATTTTAAACTCAAAAATAAATAAATAAAATAAAATGCAAAAGGTATGATATTTGTGCAGCAAAAATTGAGGTGTTTCATTTTTAAAATTGGAGATTATATATAGTGGCCATACGCAAATTGAAGAGTGAAATGTTTGCATTTGCTTGTAACAAAAAATAAGATATCAGTTTAGAAAAATGCTTCTCATTATTGATAGATTAAGTGACCGACATTTACTAGTATTCCCGCATAGTACTGGTAAGAGCATCTTGACAACCAACCAAACTTCCAGGTTTTCAATGTTCCCACCACTATGGTCTCTGAGCCATAGGGAGTGATGACGTCGGTTGCCCAGTTCAACAGTGGCTAGAGAAAAACTTTTTTAAATCTGCCGTCTAGGGTTTGGAAGTCCTGGAGCCGGTAGCATGATTTCCATAACCTTTTCCTTACCTCTTGGGGACCTTTGACTGCCTGACCCACCGAATATGGAGGCTTCTCATCTGGACCAAGTACGCATAATGCTTGAGGGCATAAGACTGAGAAACACGCATGTAGTGCTATTACCCTTACTTGCTGGCTAGGCGGATGTTTGAAAGTGACATGCAGAAATCTCAGTTTATCGGCAGCAAAATCGCATTTATGGCACACTTGCTTATTTTGAGTAGCCATCATCTTCATTTCTAAATTTTTTACCATGGAAAGGCTTTTTTTTCCTTTCTGGTGTGCTGATGATTCTCAGGTCCAGACATTAGATCATTCTGAATATTGGATGTTCGGATTTTGGACTTCGTATCGTAATATATCTTTAGCGTTTGAAAACTTACAAATTCCCTTCCCCGAATATTTTTTGACATATCAGTTGCAATAAAATTATAAATTAAAGAAAATGTCACATAGTAGTTAATCACGAAAGAATAACATTAAGTAGCATTTGTGGAGGGAATCAACCTTGAATTATTGTAATTTATTTATTAACTGACCTATCCAGGCAAACGGAAAATGGCGTCAAATATACCTAAATTTTGAAATTAAATATCTCGGTCAGTTTTCTTGTATGGGGTTAATAACTTTCTAAATATAGGTTTTGGGAAACTAGGTTTTTGTAATTTTTATATATTTTTTTAAATTACAAAATGTAAAATTAAATATTAGCGTATGTAAAACCTTTTTATGATAATTACTTTTCTAGACACAGTGTATGCGTGTGTGTGTGCATATATATATATATATGCATATATATATATATATGCACACACACACACACACACATATATATATATATATGTAAAACAAAAAATATATAACTTTCTAATAATAAATTAAAAATTGCCCTTTATCACCTCTTTTAAATTTGAACATGTTCCTCTCTTCCTTCTAAAAATAGCAAAACTATAATATAATCCTTACTTGCTGTAATTCTGAAAAGTGGTCCGTCATCTGATCTTTATTGCGCAATTATTCCTGAATGCAATGAAAACTCAGCCCAGCATCTGAATATTAATATATTATATATATATGAAATTCAATTCGCTTAATGACGTCAAATATGCCCAAATTTTGAAATTAAATATCTCGGTCAAATTTCTTGTATTCCTGAATGCAATGAAATATTAACCCAGCATCTGAATATTAATCTGTTACATAGCTGAAATTCAGTTCGCTTAATGTAAATATTCTTGAAATGTGATGCGAAATGTAATCTGTTTAATGTAAGCATTTCTTGGTATAAAAGATCTTTGCTGCATAGTATATCATTTTATGGTCATCTCTCTTCGGTCTCCCTTTTTCGCCTTTTCGCTTCTTCTCGCTTGCAAAAGTTAACATCGTCTGGTCGCTGCTTGATTTCCTCCTATTGTTTCAGGAATGTGGTACATCATAGATAAATCCTGGTTTGCTTATTCGGCGCCGTAATGTGGTGATATGGAAAAACATCTTTTAAGAATGTTCAAAAATAAATTACGTTTTAACTTACGGAACATTTGTTTGCAAATCATTCCTGTGACGATTCATGTGGCGATAGACAGTCAAAAATGTCAACTGTATGTTATCCTAAATTTTATTTCAACTCAGAGCTGTTCCAAGCCCATTGGCTGCTCGCGTACTTATCTAGAGTTGCAGCCCACAAATTTAAAAAAAAAAAAAAATTGCTCAATGAGTAATAAAATTTTTATTTCATATTCACTAAGTACTTACATGTGACAAATTGTATAAAAAGCACTTACATATGACAAGTACTTACAATGAATTTAATGATTTAAAATATTTAGTCTTGGTATAGCGAGAGTCCGACCTCCCCAGATTTTAGCCGACCGCATACTTTTACTCGCTGCAGCCCGATAGGAACGGCCCTGTCCCAACTACAATACTACAACGACTGCCAAAAATCTCTCTATGTCAAAAGAGTCATTCGATCACCACTTCACCAGTAATTATGCTTATTTTCATTACATATGCGTAAATATATATATATATATTTATATGTATATTGTTTCATAAGAATAAATTGAGTTTAATTAAAAAATTAAATTTAAATACATATTGAATTAAATATTCTTTGAGCTATTGCTGCAAGGAATGAAATTTAAATTTAAACAAATTTAAATTCTCAACAAATACGTATAAAAGTAAAAAAGCAAATTTAAATTCTAAAAAAAGGAAAAAAGCCAAAATAATTTAAAATAATTTTAAAAAATGCAAACATGTAAAAGATTTAATTCTCGAACTAATCTACAATATTATTTAAATTCAGTTATATATGTGTGTGCGCGTATGTATACATTTGTGTATTGTGTGTGTGTAATCAATGAAATATGAAAACAAACTTCTAACTTTAATTTGGAAATAGTTTCTTTTTTTAAATCATTTTAATTGGCCCTTAATGTTTTTATACGTACACTAAATTTTAAAATATTTCAGTACGTACTTCTTTTATGGTACATTATATATTCCAGATAATATTCAGTCTTTCATCCATGTGTTCCATGGAAGTATGGAAATTACTGTCTTTATACTTCAATTCATTTTTGAAGTTCAACAATGTTGTGTAATTTTCTTACATAAACATGTTTTACAAACTTCTGCGAAATTAATTGTTTGTATGTAGGGGCAGAAATATGACTTAAAATCAAGTTGATCAAAAAATTGATTCAAGTAACATTTCCCGAATTTCTTTATATGAAGGTTGGTAAAAGGCCATGTTTGCCCATCAAAATTTTGTAAATAATAGATTATAAGGGCAATAATACCTGAAAAGAAAAATAGCGTGAAGAATAGAAACAAACAGATCTGACAGAAGATAGAGAAAAAAAGATGAGAAATTAAATATCAAGCAGAATATTATATTTATCGTACAATAAACCTATTATGAAGAGTTTTAAAAATCTGATGATTTTGTCAAAAGAGCTGTTTCAGTTGTTACATAATTTTGTACATAACGCAAACTTATATATTCCTCAGTTCACTTACTATTCTTCGTTGAAATTTAGAAAAACTATGACCACCCATTCTTATGAATATATTACTTTACTAAGAACAAGGACATATTCAAAAGCAGCATTTAATTTAGGGACGTATTTCCTTACTTGAGCATGAAATATAATTCACTTGCCATATCTACATTTTCAACATAAAAACAAGGACATATTCAAAAACAGCATTTAATTTAGGCACGTATTTCCTTACTTGAGCATGTAATATAATTCACTTGCCATATCTATACTTTGAACATCAAACTTTCCATGTAAATCTTTTAAGGCATTTACGGTATATTCAAAAAAGTTTAACATGCTGTTATTTAGAGCTTTCTCTAAGTCTTTTTCCAGCGGATCATCAATCATACTAATTAATAAAGCTTCAAGAAGAAACTTCAAGAAATAGAAGCTGATGCGGCCCTCTCCTCTGCTTTTCAGTGATGAAGCCACAATCCATGAGCTACAAAGAAAATATTTTCAGAAAGAATTTATGTCTTATTTATACTAGTTACAATAATACTTATAACAACAAATCAATTATTTATATTATGAAAAAGGCATTCTGAGCTAGAATTTTTAATTCTAAATTGAATCAATTGACGAATTACGTATTGATAATTGTATCAATAACTAATAGCCCACATCTTTTCATGAACAACTCTAAATCCTAGTTAAAAATCATTCATATTATATAAAATTATTGTTATGATTAAAAATTACTAACGCATTGGGGATGAAAAACTGCCTCCCCTCACACACAGTGGAATAGCTTTATTTCTGTTTGCTTAATTATTCCATTAAAAGGAAATAAAATTACCATCCAGATAGCTCTGAAGATGTCATTGCATGTTGGATAGCGTGTTGATGAATCAGAGTCAAAGCTGCATTTGGAAGGATTTCTAACCAGTTTTTCCATAAACCAAAACTGTGTTCCTGGAAAAATTTGAAAATTTCACATAAACATTAATTAATTGTAAACTAAGCTTTTCAGGCTTTTAAAAATATAGATATGCTTCACACAGAGAATACCATCTGTTCCAGGATGGTGCTTGTTATGCAATATGCTCCTTCTATATGCTACTATTACATGAATTTTAACTCAATGTCAAACCTAACATAAAACTGTAAAACATAAAAAAAATAAATAAATAAAAAAAAAAAAAAAAAAAAAAAAACCACTTCAGATTCTTTGAAATTTTTTTATGATGAGAATATTGCCAGTATACTAACAATCAGAGCCATGCCGTGCTGTGATACAGAGAAGAAGCGGCATAAGGTGGCATCGTAAGGAGGCAGCATAAGCAGCGAAATCAGTCTACAATTTGAACCATTCAATAATTAAAAATCTTTATTTGTCTCTGTTACTCTGATATTCATGTATACGATTTATGATTTGTCATACGCTTCGTTAAAAGCTCTTTCGGAACATTTTGATATCGGCTTTTGGTGCAGATGCATCTTTGGCGAGCGCAACAGACTTCTGATCTGACAGCGCGAAGCTGCTGCTTTTGTTTGTAATAGACCGCGCAACCACTCCTGAAAGCTGAGACCGTAATTATCATAAAATACAACTTCACCTGTTGATATTTCTGCTTTAATCTTACAATTATTGACAAATTTGATTTTAACGTTGTAAGGTATATCCTAATTTTATAATAGTTATTTTAAGTTAAAGCATCTTTCCTGTCTCTTCCAACTTCAGCTTGCAATTCCTTACCAGAATAAGATTTTAGAATCGCCTTAAATGCAGATAAGTAGTAGAGAGTATTTAAGTCGAAGTTCACTGACTTCGAGAGAGCGATTTAGAAATCCTGAATAGCGCGCGCTTGCCTTTTGGCTACGTCTTTCTAAGCTGTTGCTGTGCTCGGCTGCCGTTTTACGTGCCCTTGATAACTTCGCTAGCTAATTTAATATTACGGGTCAACTTGTTTAGAAATTGTGTTAACTTCGTTTAAATCTCTTAGTTAGTCAACAGTTAAGTTCTTATTTCTTACATCTTTAAGCCCAGATGGAGGCTTTGTTGTACGTCCTGAGAGAGCGCACATCTGTAAATCTGTGTTTTGAGCAATAAAGGGTAATTAACACTTCTTGAGTTTACGATTTTGTTCTCGGACATAAGCAATTATTCGCTTAGTAGTTCACTAGGTTCCTCAACACTTAGCTAATAGAGATAAAAGTGAAGAATCCTACATTAGCACCCGAAACACTTTGATGAACCATGTCGTTAAAAAACGAGAAATTTGCGTTGATCCCTCCCACCTTTCAAATCCCTCAGCCACCAGCAAACCCCATGGAGGGATTCGGTTTTATCGTAGAAACCATGCGAGCAGCTATGAAGCCAGCCGCAACGTTTGATGGCAGAGGTTCCGTGGTGACTTTCCTGGAGCAGCTGGACCTGCATTTTACCTTACATTCAATAAACCAGCTTCAGAAAGTTAGAATTGCTATAGCTAATCTAAAAGGCCAAGCCCTGGTTTAAGGACATTCGAAAATTCCTGTTGGGGGATCCAGGTCCCGAAACCTACACATAGGAAAATCTGAAAAGTGATCTGTTTAAAGCGTTTCACGGAGTTAAAGACCAAGCGAAGCTGGAGGCAGAGCTTTTTAGTAAATATCAGACGAACGTCGAAGATTTGATGGACTTTATCTTGAGGAAGATACAAATATTTAATTTATTGTATGGAAAAATGGCGGATAGCGAATTAATTGAAGTAATTTTGCCGCATCTGTTTCCGTCGATTCAAGGTTTCCTGAAGATAAGAAATTCCCAGACCTTAAAAAACCTATTTCAGCTTGCCGTGAATTTCCAAAGCAGACGAGCAGCTGGAAATGCGCGTTCAGAAAATTTCCGCCAGTATTCGAGGTTTCCGCCTCAAGAAAAACTTCAAAGTAAGAAGTATCCTTATTGGCAAGCGGGGAAGATTGAAAAAGACTATAATAAGAAGACGGGTTATTCGAAAGCATTTGGAGATCGCATTAAGCAGCAGAAAAAGCAAGGGGCGCAGAAAAATAATTTAAATTGATCAGAGTGAGCAAGAAGAGGGCCCGGTTACCCCCTGGGAAGAAAAATACCTCGGAAATTAAATTAAATAAGGTAGCTGTACAGAATTTGGCCTTGCCGGAAATTCATCTTTTATTAAACAACGTCTCTACTACCGCCTTACTCGGCACTGGAGCTCAATGCAACTTTTTGACGCAAGACTTCTTTAAAAAGAATATTCGCCGTTACAGACTATTTAAAACTACGGGGCAGAAAGTAATTGCCGCCCAAGGAAAATAGTGTATCTGCATTAGGAAAAGTAGGACTGCGCTTGCAAATAAAGAACGAGACACAAAAAGTGAATTTTTTGGTAGTGAAGAACCAACTTATTATTAGGTTAACTAACTTATTATTATTAGGTTATTTAGGGGCTGGACATTTTACCCGCAGCAAGAGCAAAATTAAATTTTAAGAACTTTACCTTACAGGTTCAGATGGATGCTGTAGAAGAAGAAGAGGAGCCATGCTAGACGTAGATCTAAATCATCTCCAGGAAGAGGAGGAAAAGAAAATGGAAAATTTGGTAAGAATTTTTTATAGAGAAGCCCGGTTTCTGTCAGGTGGTGCAACATGAGATAAATGTAGGAAATGCCCCCCCCCCAGTTCAGGCTAAGCCTTATCGCTACGTGTGAAGGAAGAAATCTTGGAATAGCATATTAAACAGATGCTGGCAAATAAAATAATTGCTCCGAGTAGCAGCCCCTACACAAGCCCAGTAGTTTTATGTAGGAAGAAAAAACGGTCTTCCACCGTCATCGGAATTCGTAAAGATTCGCAGTTGATTACCGTAAACTGAATAGTACAACTAAATATCATACATATCACCTCCCGATAATTGATGAGATAATTAGAAAAATCCGATCTACTAAGTATATGACTATGATAGACCTGACGTCAGGCTGTTTCCAAATTGTAGTAAAATCTGAGGATGTCGAGAGAAACGCTTTTATAACGCAGTCCGGCTTATATGCTTTTTTGAGAATGCCGTTTTGATTTATGGAGAAATTTATGGATGCTAAGCTTCGAATAGAGAACTTAAAATAGTTTTGTGAGTAAGAAATGGTAAGTAATATGGTATAAAATGCCATTAATTCGTTGCAATAGTTTGCGTATGAAAAACATATTTTCGGTATTTTTTTTCAGAATTCAGATTTTGAAAATAGTTTTCTTTTTTTTCATACATTTTCATTGCACTAAGTCTCCTAGCTCTCATGAAATATCATTGTTATTCACAAATTTTCATGAAAGATGAAAAATATTTGAATTTTTCCTTGAAATTTTTAGTGTCATTCAGTAAGCACGTGCAATTAAACTCGTATGGCACTCTCTAATTAATGTGAAATGATATTCTTTGAAAAAGATTGGGCTATGTTCTTAGAATTTACGAAATAGTGAAATTTTTGGTATGAAACGATAAAAATCTTGCATGAAGTTCGTTATATGTTCACTCTCATTACTGAAGATCTCTTACTAAATTCTTAAATAGTGACGTTTTTACTCTTATTATTTTCAAAATTTGGTACTTCATGAATTAAATAACTGTATAGATATACTAACCTTTATCGAAAATTCAAATATTTTATTAATTGGTTGGTCTTATTTAAATGGTTTAGAAGTAAATGAGCGGTAGGTTAGGCAATTTCTTTCAGAAATAAAACCGTATTTGAAAACTCTGTAGATAATTTGCCTTACTGAAATTGTTCTAAATTTTTAAAAATATATGGGTGATATGATGCTATATTATCATCTACAGTGTTTTTTCTCTTTGCAAATAGTGTATAGAGTTATAATAGGAATTGAAACTTCTTTCTATAGCAGAATTTATTAGTATCTCTAAAAGAGGAATTAGAAAAATAAATTCATGTTTTTGTAAAAAATAATGTAGTATCTGGTTGTCATTATGATAGAAAGTGTTATGCAAAAGTTTCAGAGTTGTAAAAATATGATTCTGAAATGACGTTTTCTGAAAATAATCAATGTATTTCTCAATATTATAAATTAAAATAGTCAAAACTAGAAATCTTTTACACAATATGAGCATGAAAGCCATTGAAAAATCTGTTGCAATCGTATAAAATTTAACTCGAAGATGAAAATTATTGCTTGCATGATTAAACAATATCAAAATTTGGTTTGAAACTAAATCACTGAGTGCTACATATAGATCTGATCGTGATTGTTTCAAGGTCTTTTAATGGAAGATATCCTGCTTTTTAAGTAAAATTATTTTCCTTTTCCGATGAAAGTAAGTCTAAAGCTAAATCTTTGGAAAAGTGAGATATTCGGATTTTCGTCTGTTAGAATAAATGCGCATGCCTACATAAAAATAAAGTTAGGATCACTGAATTTTCTCGTTACTACAAAAGGATAGATTTAGAGAATAAAGGAAAATTTCTAAAAAACGTTGGTTCATTACCTTACTCTTACTTCTTAAAAGTTGATAAATAGTAAGAAAACTCGTTGATAAGTTGTAAGAAAACTCTTTTTTAACCGTATACTGCTTATAGGAAATGATTTGTTACTCAGGTTTTATATTAATTCATTACAAGATTTTATATCGTTTAAGTATTGGTAAGGTTTTACTGTTCCTAATGAGTGGGATTTTCTTAGCGTGAACGTGGATATTAATTGCATTTTCCTCAACAACGCTTGGGGATAATTTAATAATGTATCGCATAAATATTCTTTTCTTTTAAAAAATCCTAATTGAAAGTTAATTAAAATTATTTGGATTAGTATTAAGTGTATGTAAAGTGCTAATTGTACTACAGAATGATTCATGACCTTTTCTGTGTATATTGACAAGGGTAAAAAAAGTGAACTTCAGGTTTTTCCCACTAAAAGTAAATCTGGAGCCGATAAGAATCTGTTAAGACTCATTTTAGGTACATATATTGCTTTCTATCGCACATTTCTAAACATTTGTTGGGAATTCTGGGTGAGTAACTTAAATTCGGTAAAGGTTATATCTTCATTTGGGTAAAACCTTATATATTTTATAGTAAAAATTGCTTATTTCATATTTAGTTCTTAATATTAAGAAAATAGTTCTAAGTTAGTTATTCTATACTGTGGGAATACTACAGGAAAAGTTAAATGATTTATATGGTTTTTGGAGTTTTTTTCTCTCAGAAAACGGTAATATTTAGCAAATTAAAGTTCTCGAAAATGAATAGAAAGTTCGTATAATGCAAACATATATTATGTACAATTATAAGAAAACGTAACACTTATTTGGGTGTAATTTTGTATTTAAAATCAGTTATTCCCCATTAAAGGTGTATTAGTAAGGAATATTTAATTGCTATGATGAGTATTGTACGAATAAATTTCTGTATTTGTGATGATGAAGATTAAAACGTTCGAAATTATAGTGGAGATTTGAGTAAAATGTCTCTTACTCTTTCTCTCTTTGGTTCCTTCTGTAAATATAGGTATATTGGTAATGATATATGTTGTGTAATGCAAAAATATATCTACAATTATAAGAAAAAGTAACACTTATTTGGGTGTAATTTTGTATTGAAAAGGGGATATTCCTCATTAAATGTGTATTAGTAAGGAATATTTAACTGATATAATGAGTATTGTACGAAGAAATTTCTGTATTTGTGATGAAGAAGGTTAAAATATTCGAAATTATAGTGGAGATTTGGGTAAAATGTCTCTTACTCTTTCTCTCTGTAGTTCCTTCTGTAAATATAGGTATATTGGTAATGATATATGTTGTGTAAAGTACCTCACAAGATTTCGTTCGTAAGAAAATAAATTGGTAAATAAATTAATGCAAATAATGCAAACTGACATTTTCGAAAGAAACATTTTAGTCTAAGAAATTAAAAAATAGTCTATATATGAAATTGTCTAGTGAATTAAGTTGGAACTGGACTAAGTTTAAAAAAAAATGTGTTAACATTATGCGTTTAGAAATAAATGCATATCAATAAAACAAACTTTCAAGAGATGAAATGGTAACCAATGGGTAAAATCAATGGTCATTCATTTCTTATTCAATACTGGAAATGTTTACCTTAGAAATTTCTTTTATACATGTAACGTCAAATTTCGTCAATTTCACATGAAAGTCGTTCATGAAGGTAGAAATATCCGTACTTAGTGTAGGAAAAGGTAATAAAGTGAAAATTTACATAGTCGAGACATTTAAAGTGATGTAGAATGCATTCAATTAGTACAAATTACTGAATTAAAAGGTACTGAGCTTTCAAAATAATAAGAAAGAATTTTGTATGAGTACATGAAAGAATAAATATAGTTCTAAAATTATGGATGAAAGTTGAGATTTCATTCTAAAAATTGAGAATCTATCAAACTAGCTTAATGAGAATCAAGATTAAAAACTGAACATTAGTTACATTGAAGAGCTTAAAAGCATATATTCAGATATAAAGGGTATTCAGAATTAAAAGGAAATACCAGAATATGCAGGAAATGTTAAAGTTTGAAAATGCAAATGAAGCTAATAATGAAGTAAAATAGTAGGATAAGTCATGGTAAAAGTACTACAGAATGATAAAATGTATAATTTGCAAATTAAAATAGTACTATAAAATATGGACTAAGTAAAGGGCTATTCAACGAATTGGATATAAATAACAGTTAAAGGTTGTAAAATAAAATGCTTAATTAAAATCGATCTCTATTTATAAGAAATTTAAGCATGTTAATTTAGCTTAAATAGTAAAATCAAAAGCGCAGTTACAATCACAAATTATAAAACAGAGTTAAATTTTAGAGTATGTTGGAAACTAGAAAGAAACCCAGTGTCAGAAAAGTATAACAATGACATCTAAAATTATCTAAAGTTCATGCGTATGGTGGGAAAATGTAATAAACAAGTTCAAAATTAGAGGACTTTAAAAATTGCGAAGGTATAAAATTTACGAAACAAGTTAAAAACAACATCTAAAATTAAATAAAGCTCATATACATAGTAAGAAAATAGAAAAATGAAGCGCCTGTTTGGAATTAGGAAGGTTAAAACTTATGAAAGTCGTTACAAATTAAATGAAAGTCATGTGAAAATATAACAAATTAGTTAAAATTCTTAGTATGTTGGAAACTAAAAACGATAAAAATAGAAAGGTGTGTGTGTGTGTGTGATTATGGCAAAGCCTCGAGGGCTATCTGCCTAAGGGGAGGGATGCCTTCGTGGAGGACTTTCTAAGGGAAATTGGCTCGTATACACGTTACACATGGGGAAAATCACGAAAACGCCCATGCAGCCAGCCCGTTTGCGGGATTCGAACCTCGGACCGAACTACCAGTGTTCAGCGACTTTACCGCTCGGCCGCTGGTGGGCTAAAAATAGAAAGGAGTTAAAATTTACATCTAGAATTAAATAAGTCAGGTATATGGTAGGGAAATGTTATAAACAAGCTCAAAATTTACGAAGTTAAAAATTACGAAGGTTTAAAATGTCCGAAACAAGTTAAAAATTACATCTAAAATTAAATAAAATTCATATATATTGTTAAAAAATATAGGAATTAAACAAAAATTAAAAGTATATTTGAAATTACGAAGGTTTTAACGTATGAAAGTAGCTATAAATTCAATTAAAATCATGTACATAGTGTGAAAATATAGCAAATTAGTTACAATTTAGAGTATGTTGGAAACTAAAAACGTTAAAATATAGAAAGTTAAAATTTACACCTAAAATTAAATAAAAGTCAGGTATATGATGTGAAAATATAGGAATTATATTAAAATTACAACTAAACTGGAAATTATGAAGGTTAAAATGTATGAGATAAATCAAGTAAAAGTCACGCACATAGTGTGAAAATATAAATTGGTTAAAAATTAGAGTATATTAAATGTAATGAAGGTTAACATGTACAAAACAAGCTATAACTGTTACATGTAAAATTAAATACAAGTCATTTATATAATCAGAAAATATATGAAATAAGTTAAAATAGATAATATGTTGAAGATCACTAACGTTAAAAAGAACGAATAAAATTAAAAATTACATCAAACATTGAATAATATAACGCACAAAAACGCGTGTTTTCGTAATGACACTCGTAAAATATAACAAATAAGTTAAAAGTATGGCTAACAAGTATGAAAAAAACTCTGGGTAAAATGAATTTAATACTAAAAGTGAGTAATGTAATTAAGATTAAGGAAAGTACGTCTTATATTATGAACAGACGATTTAAGAAATATGGTAAAATTCTGAGTGTATAGGATCACTCAATCATTAAATTCGAAAATAATATTCGTTAAGGGTACCTAGGAAGTAATCATCATATACGTAGTGAAGAAAAAACACAAAGCCTAAAAATTTATTAACGAAAGACATCACCTCCGGTAAATCAATAAAATATAATTGTGATGACATGTAGCAGTTTTGTAGATATTCAGTCATAGGATAAATACAAGTAAGAAAATAATTATCTTCCAAAGAGGTTATCTGTGAAGGAAATATTTTATTGTATAGTAATTTCTGTTTAAAGAAACTCAAACACATACTTGATATATGTTTTTAAGAACTCAATATAAGTAAGTTCACAAGTGATCGCATGGATATAAATGTCTAAATCACCAAATTAAGAAATAGTACTCACTATGGTTTGTATTTTAATAAACTTCTGATTTGGTTTAAAATTTATTATCTGTATGAAACCCATTATATGTAGCAGTATTATAGACATTCAACCTTCGAGTAAATACTGTTAAGGAAACATTTTATTATATACTAATATCTGCTTAATGAAATGAACTGTATCAGTCACTTGATATATGTTTTTGTACTTGATATATGTTTTTAAAAATTCAATATAAATAAGAAAGTTTACACATTATTATATAACTAATCAGTGCCTAATATTACTCAAATCACCAAATTAATAAAACCTAAGCATACGTCTTTTTTCTGTGACGTAGTAGCTCGATAAGGCTCCCTGTCCCCATTTTCAGATAAGCCTCCCTTCCACGGCTAAGCATTCCTTCTCGGGAGCTCCCTCAACTCCCGCTCCCTGAGCTCCCTGGCTCAGAACTCTCATTTCCCCTACTAATAATGCTACTAATAACTCTACTAATAATGCATTTAATTTGAAACTCTTCATATAAATAAAATAAATAAATAAATAAATTTGTTACTTAATGAACATAAATAATTTTAATGAACATATTCTTACTTGAAAATGTAGCTGTTGCTTCTCATAACACTGGCGTAGAAGTGCCATATGAATATGGATATGAACAGCATGGTCCTTTCTCCTTTTTGATATAAGCTGTATGAAAACGTTTACTTGCCCTCTCGTATAAACTTTTCTTGGCCCTTTCTTAACAGTCCAGAGAACATCTTGAGCAACGCAAGGTAAATACTTGAGTGGAAATTATAATGACAGTAAATTTGCCACATGTTATGAAACATTAAATTTAGAATATAAAAATTCAATAAATAATAACGCATACAATCAAACCTTGGTATCTCAAAACTCCCTCAAAGAGAAAAAAGTTTAAATGAAGTCTTTTTGGAATAATAAAAATAAGAAAAAGTCGAAAAGACTAAAACTAGAAGTTCCCAGTTTTTAACCCGAATCTTATCATTACATAATGATATCTACTACCACTATACCTATAAAAACACTACTTATTTCAAACAAGAAAAAAATATTATGAGAGAAAAAAATAGTGCATATACAAATTTTTAAATGCTGTTTTACTTGAAAATAAGCTTGAAGTATTTTTGGTTGGAATTCTTGCAAGATGAAAAAGTAGTTTTACCTTTATTTCCTGGTTAACTTCCCCAATCAAATAATCTCCAATGTGATTGTGTAATGGATCATTTTCTTTCGTACTGAAAAAAAAAAAAAAAAAATGAATGATAAAAATGGATTACAATTTTTTGCAATTTGATATTAAATTTATAACTTTATGCTAAGTAAAAAAAAAAAAAAAAAAAAAAAAAACTAATAAGCCTTTCTTTAGACTTTTCTAATTTCTTTTCTTTAGGATAAATGGTTAGAGTTTTTTTTTTTTTTAAATGTGTGTGTGTGTATATATTCTGCAATAAACATCGCAACCAAATTATAAAATCATCAAATATAAAAGTCTAATATTTTATGAATTTTTTACACAATTTACATTACAATTACACAATTTTTTACAAAACCATTACATAAATATAATATTAATTAAAATCTATAAGAATTTAAACAACAGCAAAAAAGTTATCATATACTATATTCACTTTAATTGGAGTAATGTTTAGCTAGTTTTCAGTCATTGGGATGAAAACAAGGGGATTGTAAACGTGTGTTAATAAAACAGAAAATATGCTTATCAGCTTAAAAAATCTTTTATTGTAATTTTATAAATAAAAAAAAATAAAATTATTTGGGAGGCTCAGGCTTTTTCCAACAAAACATGTCAATTATTCATTTATGTGGCTTTTATGTTAGATGACAGGAATCAAACTGTACATTAAGTTTAAAAAATTAATAATATTATATTTAAAGTCACCTCTTTTCCCCTTGGTTCATTCTCCCCCTCCAAAACTATTAAAAAGAAATAGGTCAGCAGTTAATTTTGAAAAAAAAAAAAAAAATTGAAGGTATACATAACAGTACAGTTCCCTTGAATTTCCCACCAAATTAACAGATATAAAACTGTCGAAATATGGTATAAAGCTAAGAAAAAACATTCATTTAAGAAAAAACATTCAATGTATCCCATGACATTTCACTGCATATACTACTCATTATATCTGTAGAGAATTCAAAGAACATTCCATGTTATTCTAACTATCCATTCGTTTAAAAAACTGATCAGTGTAAAAATTCTAATTCTTCTTTACCATAAGTACATAAACGGCAAAAACTGAGAGAAATAAAGCTAAGATATTTATAATTTATTAAACAGTAAGATAAAAGAAATTTTGCATTTCCCTGTTAGATTAAGTTCTTTGCAAATTACTAATAAATGAAAGCTTTAAAATTTAAGTTTTTATTTCAGCTTTAACTTTGACTATTATCAAATTAGTTGCCAATATATCAGTGAATTAAATATACTCAGCAATTACATAAAAATGAAAAATAAATAATCTGAAAGCCCACACTTCAGGAGAAGGTTTTGATAGTTTTTCAATAAGTCCGCGGCGAGATGACCTAAAAATAATAAAAATAAAGTACATTATAATAAAATGTGACATTTAAATTTAACAGTATGTGCAAGAAAATGATGCATTCACACTTACCATACTTGCATATGCAAACAATCCAATGAGCAATTATTCACATCCCTGAAAATTTTACATGATAGTATCAAAAGAGAAACATAATTCAAGCTTGAAACTTTTAATTTAAAACTATGTATAAATCTCAGTTTCTTAATCGAAATTCAAGCACTAAATTCAGCATGAAAATCGATGCAAACTGTAGATTTTTAATACGCAGATAATTATTTATTATACACTTTTACATATCATAAATGCCGTAAATAACACAAAGTCCCTGTGCCTCCCAAATTTTTATGACACTCATAAAGTATCATGATTTTTCCACCTCACTAAAAGCCAGAATATAATTCTCCCTAACAGTTAAGTGTACAAATGGAACGGTTATATTGGTAAAATTATAAAAGTTAATGACATTAGCAACTCACATGAAAAGTGCATATTTTGCACAATCATATATTGAACACTTACATCATAATTAGTGACAAGAGTGAATCTTTTGTTCATTGCACGTCTTCTCAAACCAAACTAGGCTCAAACAAACAAAGTGCATCTTCTTGTACCATATAATTTTCTCTCATTTCCTTACCATAACAGTTTTCTCATAATACTTGCTTTTTATTACAGTTACTTGCCAAAAAATCAATTTTGCCTGAAAAGCAATAATTTATCAAGTTCCATCAATTAGCAACAAACATGTATTTTTTGCTGATATCCAAATGTCAATCAGATCCGTGTAGTCAAATTTTATTTTTATTAAAATATTTTAAGACAGCTGAATAATATTTTCTCTTACAGAAGTAAATATGAATGAGCTCTGATTTTAAAGGGCTTTTCATGATTCAAATTCAGTTTTTTAAATAGTAATTCAAGTTTGTTCTGCTCTTCCATAATAAATATGTTAATCTTCTATTTTTATTGCTGTTAGCAACTGAAATTCAGTTTCGAAATTCATTCAAACTTATAGATGTGAAAGGAGATCTCAAAGCAAAGGAAAACAAGTACATATTACCACAGAAAGTTATCATAGGCGTAGAAGTGAAACTAAACATATATATAATGAAAATGTTTAAATTAATCAGAAATGCAGTAACGTCATATATGAATTAATAAGATAAAATTCAATTTCTTCCAAATGATTTTCTCTTACACAGAAGAGATTAGCTAAACCTGCTGAGAATACACTACTTCTATAATTTTACTTTACCCTACTGCTATCTGCAGCTCTTTTGAATTTATCCATTCACCGGCAATTCTTCAAAATAAGCTGAGAAAAAAAAGAGGAGGGAAGCTTTTTAAAAAAGATGTGTATTCATTTTTATAATTTTCCTTTTCATTTCTATTTTTTTCTACACTTTCTACTATATACATAAGCAAATCAATCCTTCTGTTAATAAATAATATTTTTAAACACCCATAAAACAAGAAAAGAGAGGTTGTGTACGGGAATATGAGTGTGATTCCTAAAAAAATTGTCAAATTTATGTAATTTATTATTTTTTCCATGATAAAAATGAGGCGTGTATAAAAAAAAAAGAAAACAAAGAAAACAAAAAATTTCATTTTGAGTAATATAAAAATAAGTATTCTACTTGCATAATTTTCATCCATTTCCTTTACCCCCCCCCCGAAAAAAAAACTTGAAATCATGAAAATCTAGATAAGAAAAATTATATGGTATTATCACATTTAAGTTAAAAGCGTAATTAGATCGTTGCTTCCGAAAAATTTGTCGTATGTGCAATTGATTGGGTGCGTGACACTTAGCTGACGAGACATTTAACCGACACCAATTAGCCGACAGGACATTTAGCCGACAAGGACACTTAGCCGAGAGGACATTTAGCCGACAGGACATTTAGCCAACACAGAGAGTTAGCCGTCAGAACATTTAGCTACGGGAAATTTAATTTGCCAAGACATTTAGTCAACTGGGCATTAAGCCGACAGTAACGTTTAGCTGGCACGTACCCAATAATTATTCAAACTTAATATCAATTACAAAAATTCTCGACTTCGCCATAAGTTCAACATTTAAAGTCATTTTTTTCACCTATCAGTAAAATTCATTTTTCGTATCTTAAAGATCCCATATGTACTTTTAATTCTTGTGTAATTTAGCATAGTTTGATATATATCGTGCTGTTTGGTGTATATTGGCCAAATTGAAAAAGCGTTGAACTTTCTCGTCAGGGAATATGAATTAATTTTCGAAAGAACTTTTTTAGCTAACTACGACGGTCACTTTAGTTATATTTTAATATCGGATTTGCAAAAATTGTCCGTAAAGCTTCTTCATTTAATCAACTGTGTTCCTTTGAATACCTTTCACATCATTAATAATATTTCTTGTTTAGTAAGCGATATTAATTTCCTATCTCTCTCTTCTTAATGCTTTCAAATTTCTAATAACTTTTCGTTTCCTTACTATTTTACATTACTGTTTTATCATTACTATTTTGTATATTAAGTAAAACGGTCACTGTATTTCTGTTAAGTCCAGCAGCGGCCGAGCGGTAAAGTCGCTGAGTACTGCCGAATTCAGTCCGAATTTCCAATCCTGCAAACGGACTGGCTGCATGGGTGTTTTCGAGGTTTGCCACATTTGTAACATGTATACGAGCCAGTTTTCCTTTGAAAGTCCTCCACGAAGGTATCCCTCCCCTTAAACCAAACCTATTTCTGTTAGGTGACCGCTGGCCACGAGACACAAATTCCTGGATCAGAACCCTATCCCAGATTAATAAATATACGATTCCTAAAGCGTAAATTCTGAGAGTGAAAATTGCATTTAAAAAAAAAAAAAAAAAAGTAGTTCCAGTGTGGCGAGGAGTAGGGCGAATCATTCTGCTTCCTGACAGGGAAAGGAAATTTCATTAGTGGGAGAAGCCATACGACTTTATACGGGAATGAATATAGCACTGATGTGTTGAGCAAAGTAGCAATAAAATGTGAAAGTATTAGAAATCTGAAAGCATTGGGAAGAGCGAGACTCACTGGCGGCTAAATATGTGCCTGCTAAATGTCCTGTCGGCGAAGTGTCCTTGTCGGCTAAGCGTCCGTGTCGGCTAAGTGAGTGAGTGAGTGCACCGCTATGATGGCTTCCGACCACGGACATGAACCAAACGGAATTATATCCATCACGGCGGGGAAAGACTCCAAAGTAACAAGGTTGAATATTATATACTAATAACAGTTTTTACATATTGATAACTGCAAGGCACTAAGCGTTATTCTGGTTATCTGCTTTAAGTTCTGAACATTTGAAACATTATAATATTATCCACGGTTGTTTCTGCTTAGACAGTGTCTTGAGATTTTCTCTATTTTATCAAGGGCTATTCTGTTTTTGAGTGTGTTATTCGTCCACATTGTCCAGGCACAGTTCGCTGGTTTCTTCAAGTGCTAGGTTCTTGTATGCACACAATGGAAGTAATAATGGTCCGTATCGCCATCCTCTCCGCATTCGCAGAAGGAGTATCCCTAAGTCTGAATCTGTTCAGGTATACTGTTCTTCTTCTTCAATGGCCAGACAGCCCAAGATAGGCCCTTGCCTACCTCAGAATCGAATTCCAAGCTCTTTTATCCCTGGCCATAGACATCGAATTGGTTATTTTTAAAATTCTTAAGTCTGTTTTCAAACAGTCGAGCCACCTAAGTTTAGGTCTCCCTCTTTTTCGGGTGCCGAATGCTCTGGCGGAGAAGATCTTTTTAGTTACTCGATTTTCATCCATTCTTCACAGGTGTCCTGCCCATTTAATTCTCTGAATCCTTGTATATTTTACTATATCTATTTCTTTAAAAGATTTATAGAGTTCAGAGTTAGTTCTTCTTCTCCAGATATTGTTACATTTTATGCCACCAAAAATACGTCTCAAAATTTTTCTTTCAAAGACAGAAATGATACTTTTAGCTTTTTCTGTCATAGCCCAGGTCTCAGCAGAGTATGTAAGAATGGGTCTGCTAAGCTTTTGTAAATTAAAATCTGTTTTTCTGCTAGTAAAGTTAGACTTGGAGTAGTTTTTGAGGCCGAAAAAACATCGGTTAGCATCTGTGACTCTACTACGGATCTCAGGCATTAAATCATTGAGAGTATTAACTTCTGATCCTAAATATTTGCTAACAGTTTCAAATTTGTAATTCCCAAATTCAAGATAGGGGCTGCTGTCATTACCACATGGCACGTATTTAGTTTTATTTCGGTTGATTGCTAGATGCATTCTGCTGGCTGCAGTCTCTAGAGATGTAAAAGTCTCTCTAAGTGACTCAGGAGTGCGTGCGACTATGTCAGTATCGTCAGCAAACGCAAAAATCTGAAGACTTGTTAAAGATAGTTCCACGAGTATTAATGTTGTAGTCTTTTATGATTTTTTGGAGGGCAAGGTTAAAAAGCAGGCAGGCCAGTTTATCACCCTGTCTGAGCCCATTTGAAACAACAATAGGTTCAGAAAGATTATTCTGGATTTTAGCCCTAAGTTTTGTCTCAGTAAAAGTAATGGTGACCAAATTAATAAGTTTTTCAGGTATTGCAAATTTTCGCAAAGAGAGAACTTCGCAGATTAAAAAGCGTATGCAAAAAGAAAAAATAATATTTCTTTGTTCTACATTTCAAAGAAGTCAGTTACAATTATTAGTTTTAGTAATTTTCTTTTCGCTTACACTTTGTACTCTACATCATAGACCCATACCTTGAAGTTTGCTATGACAAATCATAAGCTTCTAAATAACGTACTAAACATGATGGCTAAAACTGTGTGAAGGTAAGAAATATATAAGTAAAATATGATATATTAGTTGCGATTTTTTGAATCTTAGCATTTCTGCAAATAAGAATTTAAAATCCATATTTCTAGGATATAAAACTTGGATTCAAAAAATACTATATCTAAAATTAACTTGCACACTCTCTTTATATGTCTCTTTAGATGCATACTCTCCTTAGGTGAAATGCAGTCTCAAACGATTTTAATTAATTGTAAAAGATGGGTAATTTTGATTCTATACTGATGGAGGTTACCTTTGATTATCTTGGCTATAAAAATCATTCTTACAGACATTTCCCAATTTATATAAATTTTTGCTGAAGTTTCTAAGATCATACATTGAGTATAAATGAAGAAATAATGAATATTAAAAACTCTCTCATTTAAAATGCGTTAAAAAAGAAGGTATCTCAACTTTTAATATTCAAAGGAAGTTAATAGCACAATACATTTGCTTTGTTAGTGAGGGGCGATTATTTAAAAAATAATAAGTTACTATTCAACTTAGACAATTTATAGCTAATGTACTTAATTTTGTATTATACAATGAATCCCACACCAGCAGTATTTACCTCCGAGAGAAATTTTAAAATAAAAATGAAACAATAAAATTAAAAAATATTTTAAGTATTAAAAAAAACAGGAAACTTATAACAAAATTATATATTTAATATACTTTTATATTAACCACTTCTAGGAACTTCAGCTGATGTAAGATATGACACTAGTTTGCCAATAAAGTTGGATTCTATCGTAACCATGCTTCCAACTCTTGCTGTCTTTTTTTTAACCACATATATAGTTTTCTTTCCTATTAATTTCGACCTGTTCTGTCTTTCAGTGTGTTATAATTTTGTTATTTCCTTAAGGGGTCTTCTGACCAGAAATAAGTTGCTTCTTTTCAGAGCCACTAATATTGCTGAACAGTCAATAATGATTTAATTTTCATACAATAAAGTTATACATCATTGAAAGAAAACATGCTGTTAAAATCCAGCCTTAACAGATGGCTATACAAAGAATAGGAAATGTACCTGAAAGAAACTGGATTATATTTAGTCCAACCGCATAATTCCTTTACTAATCCTAAGCTGCAAACACTGAAATATGAAAATTCAGGAAATTCTTGATTGAAAACTAGGTTTTCGTGGTGCTTGGCACAAAAAAAACCTAGAAGCCATTTCAAAAGAACTCCAAATTGACTTAAATTCACTTTAGAATACATGACAATGATTTAAATTCACTTTAGAATACATGATTCAGGTTATTGAATTATTTATAAATATGATTCTGATGTGAAATATTTATTAGAATATTTAATTTGATATTCTAAATTTTATGCTTTTTGCCTAATATCCTTTTGTAATTTTCTTGCACAAAGTACTTTTAAATGTGATGAAAATAAATTAGTGGTTAATGTACATAGTTATTGTGTGGATAAGCTTAATAATATTTAATTTACTGATAGGAAACAAAGTTAAATACAAATATTAATCCTTTAAATATTGATGGAACCTTCATAAAATGTTCTAAAGGTATCCACACTAGATTTAGACAATTCAGGTCAAGTAAAATTTAATAAGAAAAATTATGCTGAAAATCATTAGAAGCGGAGAAATGGAGTTTGTACAATTTAAATTCAATTATTTCAATAAATTTCGCTGATTATTGGAAAGGCATTTTCTTTAGGAAAAAAAAAAAAAAAATTTCAACGCTTTTTTTTTTCAACGCCGGAAGCTTTATTTAATAGCCTTAGTCTTGCGCCACTACAACTGGCCGGAAGCGGTAGATATTTAATTACGTAAGAGTTGTTTTTCGGGATTCGAACCCGGGCTCATCGCTTCAGCAGTCGGGGTCACAAACCTTTATAGCGGCTGGATGGCAGTAAAGGCTAAACATTAAAACGGGGAGTTTGAGTGATTTAATGGAGAGTGGGAGATGTGATGAAATACAAGGAGAATTATACTAAGGATATACTAAGGAATTAATATAAGCAATATTTTACAAGAATTAGCCATGGCAGATATATCTGTCACAAATTTAAACAGTTTAAGTAAACCCTTTCAGACATGAGGGTTACGTCAATACTACACTGCGCGTACGGCATAGCAGCTTTCCTTAAAATTAACTTCTGTGGAAAAAGTGCGTTAGATATTGAGATAATTAAGATAAGATAAGATAGATAGTTAGATATTGTTCAAATTAAGAAATTTCTGTATAATTTAAATAAATCTAAATATAATTTCATTTAAAGGGGGAAATGAAAGGAATGTTGATTGAAAGGAATTTTTTTTTTTTTTTTTTTTAATAGATAGATTCATGACACTATTACTTTTTTCAAAAGCTAGTGACTTTTCCCTGGAAACTGATGCAACTCTTTAAAAATTTCGCGTTAAGGAGACCAGAGTTTTTCAATGTTTCTCATAAAATGTCTTCGTCTTTCTTCATTTTCTCAATCTCCATAACAAAATTAGACTGTTCATCCTATTTTCTAAGCAATTCGTTTAACTTTATGGAAGACACTTCATCTTCTTCTGTACCGCTGCTTTTAGTGTTAGCTAGTGCAATAGTACGATCCTTCTTCATTCTTCATTTCTCTATTAATTCTTTGACTTTCCCCTCTACCCGAAACACTTAGTAGCCAATGGCTTTATCAGTCCAAGCTATTAATGCTTTCTCCCTATTTTCCAATTGCAGAATTCTTTAAGCTTGAGCAACCTTTGCGAATACCGTCTGAAACTTTAAAACTAGACAGAATCATTTCTTCATCCATTCCATTACTGTTTTTACGTTTCATTCGTTTACAACTAGCTCTATTGAAAAAGATGAAACTTGTGTACCATTTGTCAGCTTACCTAAAATTTTAATTTTCTAAGATAATATTAAAACTTTGTGTCCTTTTGATGCTTTGCCATCTTCATTCTTTCCGTTTTAGACGTCATACTGAATTTTTTAAATTAAGAGAAATACAACGCGAAAAGAAAGGGAAATAAAAACTGGTAAATATGTAATTACAGATTTGCTAACAGGAGAGAAATGATCATACATCGACTTGGGTTGCTCAGCTAGTGGATTAAAAAAAACTATGCAAAATCGCTTGCTGCAAAGCCATGCTCGACAAAAGTTTACTGTACCTTTGAGAAGTATGTTGAAAAAAATGGGCATGTTCTCTTTGTAATTAATACGCATTAAGACCTTACAAGACCTTGAAATCGACATTCATTTTGCTTACTTTCGTAGACACTGTGGAAATTTTAGAAATGAGAGAGCTGAGGCTCTAGCAAAAGTAGCCAAAAAACTTTATATTCATTTAAATCTCCGTGTCCCTGTTTCTCAATAAAAGCGTTTTTATAGAAATGATTCTATAGAATATCTATTCTAGAGAATATCTGGCTTCATCAAAAGCATAGTGCACCAAAAGTTTTTTCCTGCAATTTTTCACAGCATAACAGTTGTTCAATTTTCAAAAGATTTTAAAGCAACTCAATTTTTGACCGGACACTGTAAATTTAAGAGTTATATAAAGCGATCTGGATTTGCTTCAAGTGCTTCTTTGTACAGCTGCAATAGCGGCGGTGAGGATGTTAATCATATTCTTCTTGAGTGCATTCATCATCTCAAGCAAAGGAAGATACTTCAGGCAACTCTGAAGCACCTCTCTGTATAATGGCAACCAATCTTTTCTGAACTTTTTCCGACAAAAGAGACAATTTCTGCTTTTCGAAATTTCATTCTCAATATAGATTATTGAGCTCTCATTATTTTATTACTTTTTATTTTATTTTATTTTTTTTACTTATTTTTTATTTATTTATTATTTTAACTTTTAATAATTTTACTCATTTTCAGTGCTATTGCACATGTATTTATTTTGTTAGTGATATAACTTACTTGGGTAAGACTCGTGGAACACGAGGTGTTAAAGTCGACCCCCGCCCCGAAAAAAAGGATCCGTTAATTTAATAAAATGCTAAATAAATAAAGACATGTAATAAAAAATATTAAGAAAACAAATATGCATTTTTAGAAATATATAAAATAAAATTATTATTTCACAGAATAATGTTGGTATTAATATTATTTCTTTAAAAAAACTAAACGCAATAATCAGATAGCATGAGTTATAAATTCTTCATATTTCAAGAATAACTAGTTACCTGTACTATAACTGAGATAAATGTTTCAATGATTTTAGATTTCTGTAAAATACGCTGTGAATATGTCACATTAAAAATACACTTACCAAAAATAGTACCTACAAACAATTCTTTTGTACTTACAAAACAAAAGCCTCATGCCATAATAATTCCGAAGAAGAATCCTTAACAGAAGTGACATAATTCTTTCCTTCCTGTATCCATAATTTACAATATACACGAGAAAATTCTGAAATTTAAAAACTTTATAAGGAATGAAAGATTGCTAATAAGGCCTTTAAATTACCATCAGTGCTGATCACTCTGCAATAATGTTACAAAACTGAGCAAACTAAATTTCATCCTATTGATTAAAATATTTAATACATAGTTTTAATGTAATCATTTTAACAAAAGTTTGTGAAGGGTGAAATACAAACTTAAAATTAATTTACAAATATTCCTTCAGGCTCTACATTAAAATTTAGTTAATCATTTAAATGGTTCAGTATCTATTATTAGATATAACATAAAAGACTTTCAATAAGAATTACCTGAGAAAGAGGGAGATATTTTCATTAACATATTTGCAAAAATTTCTAAAGATTTTGAAAAATGCCATACAAGAAAAGTACTTCCTAGATTTATTAGTTAACTTGAAAGCCTTTCAAAGAATTAATGATACTCTTTTGCCATGACTTATAATAATATCCAGAAAAAATTTTGCTATGACTCGAAATTACTGAAGGGATTCTGTAATGTAATGTTTAATGTTCCAGGGTTTAAGCAAAGTTTAGATTTACCACAGACCTTAAATTTCCCACAAATATTCTATGATGGATAAAGAATTGCAAAATAAATAAATGAGCTAGATAATCCCATTTAGACTAGTTCTAGAAAATTTCATTTATATAAATGCCTAAGAGTGAAAGGTTTATCTGTTGAAAAAAAAAAAAAAGACATTTTAATGTGAATACTAAATGTATGGCACTGATGTGATGCCTTTCAACTAATCACTTCGCTCTGTCATGTCCTTGTCCATTTGTGATCTTATCTTTGTTTCACAAGCAAACTAATGTATGCAGTTATATGCTCATGAATGTTAGTACCATTAATTAAAAGTGCAACTATGAAGGTGTCTTCTTTAGAAAAAAAAATAGAGTCAGATAAGGTGGAAATACATTTTTGTGATATAAGCAATTTTTATCATACCTCTTAGTGCAAATGGGTAAATCATTTCAAAAGAATTTTGTTCGTCACAGGTAACTCATTTACAACCGGTGAGTTTTAAAGCGTAAAGTATACAAAAATTACAGAGAGAGAAATATGCATGTAATCATGAATTTTAATACTGTTAATGAACTACATACCAGTATGTCGTGGGTGAATGATTTTTCCTTCTTTAATAATTACAAACAACTGAATTTTTATCTAGAATAATATGAAACAGAAATCCATTACAATAGATAAAAAGTAGAAAAAAAAGCATGCATTATGATAGGAAATGACGTTACTAATTCTTAGAAAACAAGAAAAACATTACCATAACCCACATAAACCGAAAAAAGCAATAAGTCATTCAAAATTATTAAATGCAAAAAATTTGCTAACTGAAACTAATAAAAAAATTTATTTCATTCTTATTTTTTTGGGTGGAGAGAAAAAATTGATTTTAGTGCATTTAAATTACCTAAAGTGTTAATTTTTAATTAAAACTTCTTTTAAAACTTGATGTTAAAACTTCATTTGGGCAAGTAATAAACTAATCGAAATAATTACTCGAGGAGGATTAACGTTGCACTGATCAAAATTACTGAATAATTCTTCAAAATTTAGCTGAACAAATATACTTTGGATACAAATCATTATTAAAATGAAAAAAAAAAAAAAAAAAAAAGATGTACTATAAAAGTTCACCACCATGATTCTCCACTACCAGGCTTTGGCGATAGGGGCACCTAATCCCTAGTGCAAGTCAAATTGTATTTTTACATGATGTTTAAAAGGGGGAGTATATAAGGTATTGGTATTTCTCCTCCCTTTTTAGGATGCCTGCGTAGTGTATTGGTCAGCATACTCGACGCGTATTCGAGAGGTCAGTGGTTCGAGTCCCGGCGAGGGTATTGCTCATTTTTCACATCTTCTGCTTCGAAATAATCTAATGTCTCTATAAAGTTATCTTAATAAGTGCAAGTATTCATTTCAGATTCCTCTGTAAAGAGCACAAGATCAGATATAAATTATTCTTTCATATAAAACATTGAATTTCTTAATAAAGGAAAGAAAAAAAAACATGCAAAAAATCAGCAATTCAATTAAAATGACTTTTTATTTAAAAGTTAAAAAAATAAAGCCTCATTTACATGAATGTGAAATGCAATGAAAGACTTCCCTTATATGCTTCAAGCACAAGTTTATTCATTTATTAATAGTTTTCACTGATTGATTGATTACATTAGCATTCAACAGTTTTATACATCATAGTAAATAAAAGCATAAGAGTGTAAACTCCCTTAGTGGCATGATCATCTTTATCCGGTTATGAGATTTTTCCTCAATTGATATATATTAGATTATAATTTAAATTATTTTATTTTCTAGCCTTTTTGAATGACGTATACATCACCTGAATGAACGGACGTAGATGTTAAAACATGTAATCATATAAATTTAGTTGATAAATGCTGTTTAAATACAGTTCTTGAAGAGCAAATCAAAAACGTCGTGCAAGTCAAATTGTATTTTTACATGATGTTTAATAGTATTTTTGATTGCACTGTTGCTGTTAACAAGATTTCGTTAAATCAAGAGGAACTATATATCATCTTGTTTTACATCTTTTGTTTATGATCTAATTTATGATTTTCAATCGAAAAAATAAATTTTTAAGCAAAAAATCCTAATATCTCTGTAATTTCAAGACTTCTGAGTTAACATTTAAGCAACTTTATCTTAACCAAACCCGATTCTAATTTACGTTTAAGAACGATGTTTAGAAAGACTACCATTGTAATTAAGGTAAATATAAGGAATTTATATTTAAAGGTCCAATGTTTCTCAATTTTTAGCTATTCTTTGCCAGATGGATTTCTACTATGTTACATGCATATGCCCCTTTTCTCATTTCTTAACTCGTGGCCAACTGTTAGGCTATTTTCGAATTCCATTTTAATAACTACTGGAAAATTATCACGCTATATACAGACAGCCCTTTACTTTACTTAGAATAAAAAATTCTTAATTCCTTTCAAATATAATTTGTTGATGAAAACAAATTGAAATATTTTATTATCAAAAAACTAAAATAAAGAAAAGAAGGGAGGGGAAAATAATGAATAAATTACATCGTTCTTTGGAATTTCCTCTTTCATTATTCTGAAGTCTTCATCTTTAAATCCTTCACATAAAAACAATATATATGGATATAACTGTTTCTGATGAGTTAAAAATGGATAAGCTGGGTTTCCAATAAAATTCTGCATAACATTTACAGCATGAAAGAAAATGTTCTTTTTATCCTAAAAATAAAACAGAAGTATCAAAATATGACAGAAATAAGCCTAAAGTATGGAAGAAATAATATAAAGATAATAATAACAGCAGATAATTTGTTGACATATTTACTATCCACAAAAGTCATTTTAAAACACTGGACAGTTCAACTACCACACCGATTTCTGAAATATCTGGAGTTTGACAAGTCCAACTTCGATTAGCTGATATATGATTTAAATATGTTTTCGATTTTTTATTTTAAGTCCTTATTATAGATATTCTAAAATTATTACAGAACATAAAATCTGTGTAGATGCTGAATCATTATGGATATATGGAGGCAAATATTAACAACAGAATATTCATTAAAAATATATAATATATTGTGTTGCAAGACTAATAGAAATTCATGTCGGAATAGGTAAAAATAGGTAAAAATAGGAATAGGTAAAAATGTCGGAATAGGTATATTTTTATAAAGCTTAGCGGATAAAATATAATCATTGATATTACAAAATTATAATTATATGAACCTAAAAAGCAAGATTTTTGTTTTCTTTTTAGGTTCATATATTTCTTTTAGGTTCATTACATATGGAATTAGTGTGTCTTTAATCAAAAATAATGCTGCAAATATTCACATAATTATCATTTGGACATTATGCATTTAAGTGCATTTTTCTGCAAGGGAATTTTAAGTAAAATGAGCAATTAAAAAATGATGATGTGTTTATTAATTTCAGGCTATTAATTAGATCTAAAAAGTCCCTAACTGAGTGTTCGAAGCAAAGTGCTTTCTTTTTATGGCCGGACACATGTTTGTTTGCCAATAATTTTGGCTAAACACACCAGCCATTTAATTACCTCATTACCAAGAACATTGACAAAAGTACATCGTATAGGAATGGCTATCTCTAAACTAATACAGAGAAAATAAATGAAAAAATAATTAAGGCTTACAAGGAAATTGATTTTATTCCCTCATTTTGGGACTGAAAGTTCAATTCCGTAAGGAGAAGATGCAATGAATCATGAAGAAATATTTGACGGGAAATATACCTGTCTGAGTATATGCAGTAAAGAAAAGTTGGCTCTAGTGTAGAACTGGGTGCCCTTTAGATTAGCGACAAATTTTGTTAAGAAACCTCATTTCTGGTTACCATGATAATTTTAACTTTGTTTTAGCTTCCTGATTTTTTAAAAATGAAAATAGATTGATGTGTACATGGACAAAGTTAAGGCAGTGCACAATACCTAGTTTGTGCAATTCTCTGATTTTTTTAAGTGAAAATAGATCGATGTGTACATGGACACAGAATTTGTGCAATTTCTTGACTCTTATTTTGGTTTTGTGCAGCGGCCATCTTGAAATTGTGCTTTCCTGGCGCCAATCTTGGCGTCAAAAAAGAATCGCCAAAAAACAAGAGGCACCCAATTGTAAACTTTTACCCAAAAGTTAATTAAAAAATTTATTGAAGCTATGCGACACTTGCGACAGTTTCATGGTCGACGGGATGATAAGTAAATACTACTAAACTCTTTTCCTCCCACAAAGTAAGATTTTTAAAAACACTTTTTTGCAATGCCTTTATTACTTTAAATATTTATTTTTATAATTTATATAATTTATTTTAAAATATTTATTTAAATATAGAACATAAAATAAATAATCACGAAAGCATATGAAATGACGTTTATAAGCCGCAGGTCAAATTAAAAAAGTATTCACATATGTTTTAGATGAAATCAGCCTATATGCGGTCAAGTCGTAAATTTACAATTCTTTTTTTTTCATGGGGGAAGTTAAAAGGAGGGATAATCTTGTTTGGGACCTTGAGAAAATGTGGGTCTCGTTTAAACATCTAACTTCTCTACATTCAGTTTATACAGAGGAAAATACAAATTGAATTCCTCGAATGAATGCAATTTTGTGCAATGGAAATGTATTATTGAACGATAAACTGTAAGGCAAAATAGCATCTCTTTTTAAAGCCATAGGAGTAGAAAGACAGATATTTGTTACATCATTGAATTTGAAGTAAATATTGAGTTTTTTTATTTCTAATGCTATGTTACATGTATCAGGGCTTAATTTCTAAAATCAGAAATATCGGACCCCTATTAAGCTCTAAAATTGGAAGTATCGGAGTCCTATAGAAGACCTTGAGGAAAGAGGTAGAAGAATAAATAAATAAGTAAAATGACTGATAAAATCATTAATAATTAAAACATTCAGTATTAATGTAATTAAATAATTAATAGTTAAAGTAATTAAACAATTAAAATTGAAATTTAATAAAATGCAAAGAGATTAATTAAAATTTAATAAGCAATTTTTAATATAATTTTATTACTAAACAAAAATTACATTTCTTCTGAAATTGTTGTTCAGTTATATAAAAGTGCCGGAGCCTGCTTATTTAGGGCTCCAGCTAGAATTATGAATTATCCTCAAAATTATGAAGTACCAGGGCCGGTTCCGGTGGGCTCCGGCGCAATTTAATTTCTGACATGTATGCGTAGTAACTGAGTATCTGAGGAAATAGTCATAACCCAAATGGCTTTCAACCTTTTCACGTCTAAAAGGACTGTTTTTCGATTACATTGTGGTCGCTGCTTTTTGGTTAATTTCCTAATGACATATAAACAATAACTGTTTTTATTTGCGACTTATGAATAAAATAACGCAAACTAGACTGCAGAAAATTCTTCAGAATGAAGTTAAACAATACTGAAAAATACATTATTGATGGACTTTTGGGTTTTATATATAGTAGTTAATATGGAATCCTTAAATTATATGTATAGGTATATATAAACAAAACAAACTATAGAACAAGGTATAAAATACCAAAGAAAAATATCTTTACTATGCAGTGCTCATTACCAAACGTATATTTAAAGTATTATCAATATAAATGGTCAGTTAGGTTTCGCATATATATAATTTATTTTTATATTTTGTATTTTTTGTATTATATTCAGTATTGTACATGTATCTGAAGTTTAATTTTACTTGTTCTCGTTTTGGGTTACGACTTTAAGCAAGAAAGAATTATTAGGGCCTTCATAGGGATTAAATTTTATACAATCAATTAAGATCCGATTTTTCCTTTCTTTTAATCATTATATATATTTAAATACTACTTTATAAGTATATATAAAATATAGCAGTTTTTTAAGCTACTTATTTATATATCTATTGCTTGGTCTGGTTTGTTTGATTATAGCAAAGCATTCGACGGTTATTTGTCTAAGGGTAAGGGTGCCTCGCGGAGAACTTTCTAAGCAAAACTGACTCTTACTCACGTTACACGTGGGGAAAACCACGAAAACGCCAATACAGCCATCCGGTTCACCGGGATTCGAACCCCGGATTGACCTGACAGAGTTCAACGACTTTACCGCTCAGCCGCTAGTAAGCCACACACACACATCCACACATATACATTAAATCATATTTACATGCCGTTTATAAAGCATAATTGAGTGCAATTTAATCATAAAGAGTTAGAAATTATTTTACGTAATTACTTCGCTTCGTAGACTTTTTGTAAGCTTCACCATATTTTTAAAGAGAATCTCAATACTAGTTTCATTTCCAAGCCGTTAATGTACCTTATTTTTTATGCTTTAAATTACATTTAGAGAATTATTTCACCCAATTATAGCTGAAAATGCAGTTTTTTTTTTTTTTTTAATGAAAAGTTTAAGGATAAGAAGAGAATTAAATCTTTTCTAATTATTCTTGAAGCATTTAAATTTAAAAAAAAGGGCACATTAATAGGGATCACTGAACTAAGGTGCTCGATAGAGAACAGATTAATTAGCTACTAAATTTTGATTTTCATTGAGTAAAAATGAATTCATCTGCATTGTACTATAAGAAAGTAAATACTCAAAAAATGTTTTTTATATTCTCGCAGTCATAATATTTTTCTTAAATATCTAATCTAATTCATATTTAGATATTCCAATCCATTACAATTAGTAATAAATCGATATAGTAAATAAATATTTAAAATCAATTAAATGGAATTTTAATATCAAAACTTTTCGCATTCTATATAATTTGTCTCCATTCTAATACCATGTACATTCTTGTATACATTACTGACTTACAGTGAAGAATAGAAAGGAAATCTCTAGCTCCATTCAAGTTTTTATTCCTGATATACTAATACTGAATGAGACCTAAAAACACTTTTATTTTACAATATATCTCCCCTTATGTTACCTAACGCACCTGCTTATTTTCCCCTTTGCAATTAACGTCAAGGTCCCCGTCTTGACTGCACTCGAGATGCCACCGTTTTAGATAACCATTTATTGAAGAAATTTATTAATTAAAAAAATAAATTCTTTAAAAATTTATTAAAATTTAAGGCACTCTTCTGTTTTGAGGGCCGTAAAAACATTGCAGCGAAAATGTATGCGCAAAAGCGCCAAATCTGGCAAACGCACCCATTTAACAGCGCGCCAAATCTAGAGTACGCGCTGGTTTCAGATTGCATAAGTTTATATAGTTCTATATTTCTTAAGACGCCATTGAAATACTAGTTTAATTTTTAAATCCTTTTTTGATTTAAAATCCTTTTTTGATTTTAAATCTTTTTTGGGTACTTTTCCGTTTTACCGGCGCAAGCGATAAAGTCGCTAATAATAGTGCAACCGATGCCAAACGGAATATTCTCGCTGGTAACCTTTTACGCCTCATTTTCAAAACAAGTCGCAGCTTTTTCTTATCAGATTGATTGTTTCTTTCAATACTGACATATAATTACATAGAATTTTTATCAGATAGTTCAGTTTTATGTCTAAGGCAATTTTCGGCAATTAAGTCAATTAGGATGCAATCACAGCGTTTACCCGAAGCCGAAAATATAGAAAAGTTAATGTCAAGGGTTTAAATTCATCAATTCTAATGAGAATGCATTAGCGAAGTAAAGCACTGCAGTTTTACATAATTTCTGAGTAAGTTATTCGTACGAAATTGAAATATTTCTTGCATTTAGACTTGTGTTCCAAATTAAGATTTAACATGAAATTAATGTAGATAATTACTGAGAGCATTAGATTTTTGTAGAGTAGTTTACGTGACATGAGATCGCTTGGGGTCACGTGATATGAACCGGCGAATCAGGATGTTGAACCATGAAAGCATAGTGAATTCTTAAATTAATGTCTTTTTACAAATTTGTTGTCTTTATTTATCGGTTTTTATAAAATTTTAAGCGATATTAAAATGTTTATGCCTTTAAAAAAAGAATTCTTAAAACTAACATATTTTTAAATATTTTTTATGTGTATACTGTATGTTGACGCCAATAAAGTCTGCTTGGCGAGATTTGCGCCGGCGAAACGGAAAAGTACCCTTTTTTGATTTTAAATCCTTTTTTGATAGCCTATGGATTTAACCTATGGATTATTAGGGTGCACTTCTGAATTCCGATTCTGAATATTTTCAAAGAAAAGACATCATTTATTAAAGAAAATTACGTTTGAACAACCAACGAGACGAAATTATGCTTTAGCGATAAGTCGGTAGCGAAATAGCGATGCAGGCATCCATTCAGTTATGTTTAGCAATTTTTATATAAATTATAATAATGATCTGAAATAGTTATTTACTCTTAGGCTTCCATTCAGTCCTGTTTAGCCTTTTTCATATAAATTATAATAATAAAAAGTATTATATGAAATTAACCTTACATCTAAATTAAAACATCAATCTTAGATAGTTATTTACTATTATACTTCCTTTCTTGCCGCAATTATTAGGGTTGCCGCAATTATTTTTGGCAGTATTGGCATCAACAATAGTTTGGCGATTTTTTACGGCCCTCGAAACCGACTAAATTTAATTACTTTAAAGTAAACTAAATCATTTGATCCAACAGGCACAAATAACCTGTTTTAACTGAAGCACAACCCAAAATTTTGAAAGCTGTGAATAATTAATTGTGAATAAGTGTTCTTATTTAATTTTATTTCATTTCCTGAATTAAGTAATAAGTTCCTCATGAACGCAGAGCTGTGTATGCTTTCCTAGTTTTGGCAATGGGCATTTGACTTGCTGAACAAATCTTAATATTTTACTACAGGTTTTATACTATATTTTTTAAATATAAATCATGACGATTTAAGTATGTTTTTCTGCAGTTCTCTTTTACCTTAAATGATGGCTTTTATTCTTTTTCCCCCCTGATTTATATTTCGAGCTATATTTGTTTAAATATGTTTTGCAGATTTTTTAAAATTTGATACTAGCTTTTCCTGCATATTTATTTCTATCACATTCAAAACTGCAATTGTCAAAACACTTCATTAGGCAATTAGTTACTTATTAAAAATATGCTGTTGTTTTGTAACTTGTATATATCTCTTTCAAACAGAATCACTACTTTTAAACAGTTCAGCAATTTTAGTATCATTTTAAACTATAACTATGACAAACATAGGTAGATAAATAGAAATTTATAACGCAGTTTTAAATAAACAAATTTTAAAAAGCAAGTATTTGAATATTTGTATTTGAAATATAATATAAAGAAAAAAATGAAAGGATTTTTAATGTGAATTAAAATGCATTTAATAAAAGCTGCTTTGGAATTCCATTTCTATTTAAATTATAATTTTACCGTATAAGATGTTTCAAGCTCATCTAATTGCGAAATTTGGCTTTCAACTACAGGATCACGTTTTAATCTGTTAAAGGCATCACCCAGTTCACCTGTTTCTGACTTTCTGAAAGATAATGCAGTGACATATATTTCAATACATTATAATTCAAATTTAAAAATAAGTAACTAACATTTAAAATTTAAAATAAGTAAGTAAAATAAAAAAATATAAAATTCTTTAAATAAAACATTTTCTTCAATAAAGAAGTAAATTATTCCTGCAAATTCTAAATTCCCAAACTAAAAACACAAAGTTTCATTTATTCATACTGAATTTTGAAACATTATACAATTTCTTAGCTTTGAAAGTACTCAAAATGACAACACTTTTCATTATAAAATTACAGTTCAGATAGCAAAATAAATTTATCATTAATGTTACGAAAATTTTTAAATAAAATTAAAAGTAAAAAAAAAAAAATACTTCATGCATTTGAAAACTGATGTAATTGTACCTTTTTTTAAGACAATTACAGCAAGAACAAATCTCTTTACAGCGCATTACGAAATCATCTATTAAAAAAGAGGCATAAATGCTACCATTTTAAATGCTCGTTCCGTAAACAGTGTAAACAGTGAAAGAAACGGTTGCCAACTAATATTTTAAAATTCTTACTTCCACACCTTGGATATCAGAATTTTAATTTAGTTTTTCGAGTATCAGCTCTACCTATCGCTGTATATTATCACATGAATTAAGTTGTGCTTGAAAGCGATGATATGTCAAATTACAGAATATGTTTCTTGGGTGCTAAGGATTTAATCTATAATAGTATTACAATTTAGCAATTCAAATGTCTCCATTTGAGGAATCTGATTGCGGTAAACTTTGGAGAGAATGTAAGAGTACAATCGTATTAAAAATTCTAAAAATATGCAAATATAAATAGTTTCATCCAAAAGCAATATTAAAAACAATAATTTAAATTTACGCCTTTTAAAAAATTCTTTTAAAATTTAACTAAAAGAAAATGGCATTATTGTAATTTTTATTTCAAGCGGTAGCTGTGGTGATAATTTTCCAGAAAAAAACAATTGTTTATCAGAATGCTGATATAGTTGGATTTAAGATATGTTAACACGTTGAGCCCGGTACCGGTCCTATAGGGACCGGCAGTGAACTTTCCGTAAGGCCGGCGTCGGTGCCTGTTGACCGGGACTGGAATTTTCGTTCGGCTGGCGTCGGTCCGCGGGACCGACAGTATTAAAGTTAAAAAATAAATATAGTTTCAATGAAATGTGTTCAAATGTAGTCTTAATGAAATTTATTGAAACATTTTAACTAACAACAATTAATTTTAAATAACAGTTAATTTTATTTTGGAAGCAAATTTTTATATAAACCCTCGTGGTGCTACTTTGGTAGACGGTTGCACGAATTTTGGCGATTTTTTTTTTTTTTTTTTTTTTTTTTTTTTTTTTTTTTGGCAAGCGATACGATTTCTATTTATGGTAACCGATACTTTGCTGTCATTTTATTAAAAAAATAATGCCTTTATTATGCATAAATTCCGTGTTTTAAATATTATGTATGGCTTCTAAATATTAAAAATCAATTTTATTTAAAATAAAAATTTTATTGTTTATGATATTTTATGTTGTGGATGATGTAATCAGTGACGTCACCTTACTTAAAAAGTAATTGTTTTTAGTATCTATAAATTTAATCTAATGTTTTAAACATTATTAATGGCTGTTAAATATTAAAATACAACTTAATTTTGCATCTTTTTTCAAAAATGATTTTATTATGTATGATTATTTAAATAATTTTAATTCTATGCGTGATGTAATCAGCTCCTTGATTGGTTACTGAAAATTTGTGCATTACCGCGCCATTTTAAAATTTTATTATTCATCTCTTCGAATTCCTTAGATTTCAACGTGAATGGATATGTCCGTTTCGAAGATAAATGTTATTATTGGTAACTACCAAGAATTATTGGGATCGGAATAAAAAAAAAATTGTCCTTTCAGACCTTATTTTGGCCAACCTGGCTTTCCTAATCAAAGATTTATTTATAAATTGTTACAAGGGTCAGAGGAAATTTATTTTAAATTTTTGGAGGAAACCTCGATAATTGCTTCTTTAATGAAGTGCGAGAGATGCTGATCACAGATGAAGATTGTTGAAAGAGCCGATTCTGAGGACGCCCGTATATGGTATTGTGGTTACGGTGGAAGAAATAACTTCTGTAACGGTAAAAAAATGTATTAGAATTCCTCCTTTTTACCGGACGGACCGAGGGGAAACGGAATTGAGGCAGGACGTCTTTTTGGTGTGCTCCCGAAAAAGCGAGTTTTTTCTCAGCAATTTTAATCCTACGAATATAATTCTTACATTAAATAGTGCTCGAAGTATCCCTGTACATTTGGATACCTCATATGTGTGTGTGCGATTTGAATTAGTTGAGTTACTAGTGTTTTTGCGCCATCAACAAGGGAAAACAGGCAGCAGCAATTTTACGGTGAGCGTGCCAACCTACTAAGTCGACACTGCGACGGAAGGGTGCCGCGGAGCCACCACGTGGTTATCGTAGTAGGCATAAGAATCTAGTGATTTCCAGCAGTGCCACAAAGTGCTTAAAAGTTTAAAAATCAATATCTTGGAATATAATCATCGCAGGAATCCCATCTAAAGAAGATTAAGGTAGGGTTCTTATAATCTACCTCCTAAAAAACTTCAATAGCCTCTAACTGTGTAATCTCAAATTTTGATAATATGACATAGACTTTCTTCGTTCAATTCAGCGGTAAATCTACCAGCTTTTAAAATGTGTAATTCTTAATACATTCATATCTTGTTTAATAATTACAGTAGAATCCTCATCTAAATAAGTTTTACCTTGTTTTATGCTCCATCTGATTATGTGTGTTTATTTTTTAATTCTTTTTCATTATTCTGTGTTTTGTTTATTTAGTATACATGTAACGCTAATGCTATTTGTTATACTGTATGATACTTTCAAAGTGCTAAAATTGCCTAAATACCTAAACCAATATCTCTGCTTAAAATAATCCTAGAATTTTCTTCTGCACAGATTTTAAATCAGTATTGTATTTTTATGTGTATATATATATAGTCATATATTTCTTTTATGTGCATCTGTAATAGTTGTATGTCTTAATTCACTCACTGCCGGCACAATCTAGATAAATTCTAAGTCCCCAACAGGACGGCCATATTGCCAACCCTGCCAAAATCTCAGCAGTAGCTGCGCAGGGTCCGTCCATGTAGTTCGGATATAACTTCTGCCTTGTATTTAATTGCTATTAACATTGACCTCTCATTGAAATTTTTGCTTTTATATACTGTGTCTGCTATCATGTATTGTATAGTGTGCAACAGCATTTACAAAAATCTCTAAGTCCGGAGTCGGACAAATTCTGCATTGCACTTAATTGCTATTAACATTGATCTCACATTGAAATTTTTGCTTTTATATACTGTGTCTGCTATCATGTATTGTATAGTGTGCAACAGCATTTACAAAAATTTCTAAGTCCGGAGTCGGGACAAAGTAAATAGACAACTTTTGTTATTATTATCACCAGAGGTTCCTAAGCCTAAATCTCAACTTTTTAACCTAAGCCCCCTTCTTTAATTATAGTACTAGACACACCAAACTCTAATAAAAGATCCCCCTAGTCTTCCCCTTTCAATAATAAATAACTTTCATTGAATCTCTCCTATTAGTTACCCCTCAAAAAATACTTTTTCATTAGCTTTAATTTCGTTTAATTTCACTTAATTTCTCCTATTTCTCACAGCCCCTAACCCCCAGATACTAACCAAACCTAAAATGTCTTAATCCTCTCTTCCTCCTCTTTCTGAAAACCTATCACTCAATAGTTTCAAAATTACAAGCCCTCCCCTCATTTTTAATATTTTTTTATTTTATTTATTTTATTATTATTATTATTTTTTTTACACCTTTTTATTTTCCGTTTTTTACTTTTTATTTCTCCTATATCTTCCCTCCTAATCCACTTAGTCTTGTAATTCTTTCAGTCTCTCTCTCTCAGCTTGCCCTCAGGTTTTCAACAATATATACACTTTAGAACCTCCCTTCAAATTTATTTTCTCCCTATTTTTAATTACTCTTTATTAGCATTTTATTTCTCTTCCAACTTCCCAACTAATAGTAGTAACTCCACCGTACCACTTCTGTTTACCAACACAAACTCCCTGCTTCATTCTACCACCATCCCCTTAAATCTATACTAATTAATACATTTTTCAATGAGTTTAATTAACCTTTTGTCTCTCATTTTCACTTCTAATTTCCAATAATCAGCACTCGTAATAGTCTCAAAACTACACTACAGAACCCAGCTTCCCTCTTATACCCCTGCGCCCTCCTGACTTACCCTAAAACACATTAACTAATTATTCCGTAGATTCTCCCCCACTTTCCAATCCTTAACGTAGGACTTGCGCATCAGTACTCACCCACCCTCATTTCCGAGCCTCTGGCATATCTCCTGGGAATGTCAAGATATATACTGCTGCTTTTCTGTATTGAATTGATAAATACTGTTGTTATTCTGCATTGAATTACCCATTTACCTATTATCATACTTGTGAAATTACATTCCTGCATACATTCAAAGTGCATTTTCTTGTTTACTAACTTTGCTATCCTCACCACTTGATGTGCATCTTCACTGTCCGATTCACTTACTTTAATGTCCTGTGGTATCACAAATTAAGCATATGACTGGTGGTGCCACACTGTGATATTAAGTGCTTACATCACGCATTCTCCCACCTTGCATACCTTAGTGTCCAACATAACAAGGGCCTTTTTAATCAGTGCATTTCAAGAATCAACGTATCCGCTCTGACATGTCGCGTCCCTCGTTTCAACCGACCGACACAGAGAATACCCAGTCACAAGGCATTTTAGATCCTGAAGCTTTATTGGCATCGGACTTATCGCACGAAGAACGTGTAGCCGTCCTAGCAGGAAACATTCGGCAGATCTCTGCAACGTTTCGAAGAAATAAATTCCTATTAACCCAAGATTTAAGGGAGCAATTGGAAAAGTCCTTAGACGTCCTACAAGAATTAGCACTTGCAGGACCAGCATACGCACCAAAGCCAGTAACTGAAGAGACAGGCACTAATACTTCTACCTTTGTGTGCTGTCAAGCAGTTCACGCCTCCACACACCCTGTGCAACAGCTCAATAGCGAACCAGCTCTGACTTCGCAGTCCAATACCTCCATTCCGACGTTCGCTGAGGTATTGCGTAAATCCAGAATACCTAGCATCATAATCAAGCCCATCACTAAGAAACCCACTGGAGAGCTAAGGAAAGAACTACAAGCAAAAGTTCCCCTTACAAAGATCCCAGTCACAGTGGAAAAGATACAACCTACCTACGCCACAAGGAGGATTAGAGGTATTCTGCCAGGACAGCAGAGGAACTTGACCAACTGCAACAGCATATACAAAAAGCCAACATAGATGTCGACGTCAAGAGACGCCAACGACGACGACCGAGGATTGCCATACACAACG